GCTATGTTAGTCATAACCAGATGGTAACCATGTAAACAATGGCCATCATTGTCCCAGATTGGGATCCGACGCCAGGATGGCTCCATTTTGACTTGGAACCTCACAGGCGCCGCGATGCAAGACGCGTCGCGCGCCATGGAAACGTGGGGGCCTCATGGGCCCCATGGGCCCCTCGAGTCCCCGTGTCCAGTTCAGGTTCGTCGGAGATGCTTGGGATACCTTGAGTAATTGGAGGAGATTGTAGGATACCTTAGTAATTGGAGGAGATTATATAGGAATATCATGGGAATATGATAGGATTTACCTTCCGGTCACTTGTGTGGCAGCGAACTGAAGAATCACCCATTTTCAAGAACGGTGAATTATCATACATCATGTAATTTCTACCGGCCATTTGTCCATAGCAAACTGTTAAATAACCACAGGGTAATTCCAACAAAGACACCAACAAGTACGAAACAACACATATTCTGGTTGATGGTTTGGAACATGGCTTTTATTTTCCATAATAAAAAAGGGATGTCATCCTTCCCATTGACGAACTCATATTTTTCAAGATGGTTATTGCACCACCAAGCAGTATTCAGATAGGAATTAACATCATTCCACTTCATTCTGCCAGCTTAACTGGACAAAACACGTTTCTTGGAGCTTGTCCGCCGTTTCTGGGGAAGAACGCCATGCTGAGGCCTCTTCAAAAGCCAGGTGACCCAGTGACACTGGGTGAGTCTTTAATTGTGTGGTGTTTTCAAAATATATGTAAAGTTAGGTATTAGTGGTGTTTCCACAATATTTTTTTGCAATGGGTCATATTTCCAGATATCTTCCATATATCAATTTATACTATATGCATACGAATATATGATATAAATATCTAATAGCATATGATTTATTAAGTCCCTTACCCTCTGGTACACTAACAGTTTACGAACTGGAACATCACCGTCTTTAAAAATATTAAAAACGCTAAATTCACTATTTCTATGTGCCATGGCTTCAATAGCTGTAACAGTCATTACCAGAGGCTAAATCCCATATCATCCCATTCTTCACCATTGCTAACCCATTGTTAAACCATTAAAAATCACCATGAAAAATCACCATTTATAGTGGTTAAACCACCATTTTCCTATGGTTTTATAGTAGAATCACCATTAAATCACCATGAAAAATCACCATTTATAGTGGTTAAACCACCATTTTCCTATGGTTTTATAGTAGAATCACCATTAAATCACCATGAAAAATCACAATTTTTTTCGTAGAAATTCCCTTATGAGATCCCCATGATCCCTCCATAGCCCCTAGGTTGTCGGGCCACGCGGCGGGCGTCACGGCCCTGACGTTGCGCGACGAGTTGTTAGCCTCGGGCGCGGCGGATAACTCCACGAAGCTGTGGAACGTGGCGCGGAAGCCCGGGATCTGCCCACTTGGACAATATAACTATGATATCATTAGAACCCATACATATATAATATACATACTATATGTATATAATATGTATATATATATATACAATCATCTAATAATATATATATAATAATGGATAATAATAATAAGGGATAAGGATGGATGATAATGGATAAGAATGGCCAATGATAATATTATGATTGGCATTTTATGGATAATGGATATAGAAGCCATGTTTCATCCCATGTATAGGTGGGGAAATTCCATATAACTGGGTGGAAACCATTTACTAAGTGGGATGAACCCCCCAAGCAGGGGGCAAGGCAGGTGGATAGTGGATCCTAGGGGCATGAAAAGGTGAGGTTAGGTGGATTTAAAGCATATGCATATACCAGTAAGAATTAGTTCTTGAATGAGATATTGTAATGGGATATCATGGGGTTTCTTATGGGATAGATTATATAGAACTAACTTCAATCAATATATATCCAATGGGGATTTGTATACCCATTTGTAAAGATTCCCCCTATGGGATGAATGACCATAACCCATGGGAGTTCTTGTCATCCCACGTTCGGGTTCTGCGTTCTGCACCTTTGTTGGTCGACAATCCCCATGTTTCAACTCCTCTATATACTCAACCTGATGATCTTCCCTAAATTCAATGGTTACCCTCTGGTAAACTAACTAACATAACTATGGAAAATCACCATTTTGAAGCGGTAAATCCACTATAAATTACCATGTTCAATAGCTATGTTAGTCATTACCCGAGGGTACATGATTTCCGCTGAGTCCGCCCCATTTGTTGGCGCTCCATTTGTTGGCAAAATCACCAACTGACCATCCGGTGATTGCACAGTAAACCATGGATGTTTTTCCAGTTCGCAAAGGTTACAGCAATAGAAGCTCAGATCATCCATCACCTAGCAGTATGTATATTATACTATACACCATCATATACACAATAAAACATATTTACTACCATATCATCCACATTTATCTATCTATCTATATATATACATACCATTCTCCCATTATATACCCATGATCTTATTACTGGATGTGTTGATATTCCCATCATATCCATGAAGGATATATATAATGGGAGAATGATATAATTATGGTGATTAGAGTATATCCCATTTATAGTATGTACTTTTAACATCATATCACCCATACATCATTATCCCATTATATACCCATTATATACCCATTATATACCCATTATATACCCATTATATCCCTATCATTATCCCATTATATACCCATTATATACAAATATTATATACCCATTATATACCCATTATATCCCTATCATTGTCCCATTATATACCCATTATATCCCTTATATCCCCATTATATACCCATTATATACAAATAGTATATACCCATTATATACAAATATTATATACCAATTTTATACCCATTATATACCCATTATATACCCATTATATACCCATTATATACCCATTTTATACAAATATTATTTTATACCCCATTATATACCCATTATATACCCATTATATACCCATTATATACCCATTATATACCCATTATTATATACCCATTATATACCCATTATTATATACCCATTATATACCCATTATATACAAATATTATATACCCATTATATACCCATTATATACCCATTATATACCCATTATATACCCATTATATACCCATTATATACCCATTATATACCCATTATATACCCATTATATACCCATTATATACAAATATTATATACCCATTATATACAAATATTATATACCCATTATATACCCATTATATACCCATTATATACCCATTATATACCCATTATATACCCATTATATACCCATTATATACCCATTATATTCCCATTATATACCCATTATATACCCATTATATACAAATATTATATACCCATTATATACCCATTATATCCCTATCATTGTCCCATTATATACCCATTATATCCCTTATATCCCCATTATACACCCATTATATACCCATTATATACCCATTATATCCCTTATATCCCCATTATACACCCATTATATACCCATTATATACCCATTATATACCCATTATATACCCATTATATACCCATTGTATACCCATTATATACCCATTATATACAAATATTATATACCCATTATATACCCATTATATACAAATATTATATACCCATTATATACCCATTATATACCCATTATACACCCATTATATACCCATTATATACCCATTATATACCCATTATATACCCATTATATACCCATTATATACCCATTATATACCCATTATATACCCATTATATACCAATTATATACCCATTATATACCCATTATATACCCATTATATACCCATTATATACCCATTATATACAAATATTATATACCCATTATATACCCATTATATCCCTATCATTATCCCATTATATACCCATTATATACCCATTATATACCCATTATATACCCATTATATACAAATATTATATACCCATTATATACCCATTATATACAAATATTATATACCCATTATATACCCATTATATCCCTATCATTGTCCCATTATATACCCATTATATCCCTTATATCCCCATTATATACCCATTATACACCCATTATATACCCATTATATACCCATTATATACCCATTATATACCCTATCATTATCCCACTATATACCCATTATATACCCATTTATAGTTACATATCATGATCTTATTACTGTTACATCCCCATGCTATCACCGAGGCCACGGGCGAGTTGGTACGTCAGCTTCCCCATCCCAAGACCGTGCTTTGGCGTGAAAAGGAAAGGATTTCGGGTGGATGATCACGGGATGGGTGGAGCAGAATCATACTGAGAGGTAAATCACCATTTTGATAGGTAAACCATCTATAGAGGGGCCATCTATACCATGGCTATGTTAGTCATAACCAGAGGGTATATATAATTATAGATATACCCTCTGGTAAATTAACAGTTCGACCATGGCAGTCATCGGGGTTGGAAGACTAGTTTCCATTAAAAATGGGTGATTTTCAGGGTCTATGTTAATTTACCAGGGGGTAATTTACAATATATTACTTTGATGATATCATGGTTTCACCGTGATAACAATTATATTTGATATAACTGTTATTATCATACTTATTATGATAGATAATAGCAATGATAACTAAATAGCAATGATTAATGGCTAACATTTACAATAATACTGCTACATTTACATTAACAACAATAACAACATGACAATGATAATGCAAATAAGAACAATGATGCTATATAATGGCACTTTAGTAACCCCCAAAAAGATAAAACAGTAAATTCCTTTTTAGAATAGTGATAACTTGAACATTTTCTTAATAATAATAATGCTAATAGTAATGATCAAAGTTCACGATGATCATAGCAACAATAGCAATAGTCAGCTATGCATGCCAATAATAATTATATTGACACTTCTGGCAATAGGAAACTCATGTCGTCCATGTCTGGGAGATGGGTTTCTGGACAAATCCGGAATTCCAGCAGTTGGCACCGCACGTAGCGACTCTACCAGAACCCGCAGATCCCATGCATTTCCAGCTGCGGAATGCAGGTTTTTGGGCTTTCGATCTCAGGCCGGGTCTGTGACGCCGGGCCGGGTTGTGACGTTGGCGATTGGGTGTCTTCCGAATTGAAGGTCCAAGTACATGAACCAACTTCTGGCTGAAGTCGAAGTCTTTCCCACATGTTCAACAAGGCTTTTCTTGGGTCCCTAACCCCTGAGCCCCGCCAGGAAAACAACTGGCGAGTGCCTGTTGGGATGGTGTGGCGCGGATTTACGACTTGGAGAATGAAGTTGAGCCCATGGAACTTCGCGGGCATACAGGTGGTGGGGTGGTCATTCTGTTCCCAACTCGACAGAGCCCTTGGTGTTTTTCACTTCGCGGCTTCTTCAATTCCAAGTCTAAGGTTGTTATATGTTGTTATTTCCCCTGGTGGGTTTTGTACCAAGTCCACAATGGTTCGCACAATGAGTGCCCCCCCCCAGGCGGCCTCTATGAGGCACCTTGGCAGCGCAGGATCTTTGCGAAGCAATCATCAAAGGATATAGTTCTGGTGTGAATTATATTATCATAATATCATAAGAGCCCCCAACTTTGATGATTATAATATAATCATTATCATTGTATTTATCAACATTGCATGGTTTCATTCAAAGATAAAGATACACATATTCACCTATTGACCAGCAAAGAAGCTGGATGCTGTCGGCGGTTTCATGGCTATTCCAGCTGTCAAGGATAGATGTACCCACATGGCTATGGAAAATGGCTCATTTATGGATGTACCCAGTAAAACTAGCGATTTTTTTTATAGCAATGTCAAATTACCAGAGGGTAATGTCAGGTTACAAGAGTCGCTAATCCCCAAAAAAATAGAGAAGTCCGTAAGAATTCCACAAATTTGGTGATGAAAATTTGGTGCCTTTCCTATCTTTTTGTTGGGACAAAATAGCCAGGCCGGCTGCCATGCCATGCCGCTTTCTGTCTGGCCGGATCCGAGGTATCACATAGCCCACTGGATCCCACACTATTGGCCACTGCCTCTGCTGACAGGATCGAAATTTTGCTGCGTGCGTGCTGAGGTCGTGCTTGGAAGCTGAGATCTTAATGACTCTTTATTGGATTTATTGCTAGAAAATACCTGAAAATACAATATATATATATCAATGTATATCATTCTCAAGTAATTTTTATATATTTTTGGACTTCTTGCAGTCTTGACTCTGCAACATACCTGAGTCTCAGTATGTCTCGTACCGCCATCAGCAATGTTTGTTGCTGTTTTCTGCCACTGCTCAATGGTCTTATTAGATTGATGCAATCTATACCACCCTGCCTGGTACGCGGCAACTCACATTCCTGGACCACTCCGAATAGAAACAACTTCAGACATGGCCGATGCGGCCATCAGAGGAATTGGTAGGAGGACGTCTGAATTGTGCTTCACATTGCCTTGCATATAAATTTGGAGTGATTCACCCAGTTGAAGCGAGCAACCGTGCATTAATCATTAGTAGGACTTACAGTAGTTGGACTACAGGTTTGACTTACGTACCTATTTGCTGGTGACATGTGCATCCTTGTTCGTCAGGACTGTGCGAGTCTGGGACTTGAAGACAGGGCGGCAGCTGTGGAAGTTCATGCACAAGGCTGGGAGGGACCCTCAACCCCCCTAGGATGGCTATTCACCCTAAACAAAAGCCAAATGAAAGTATAGTAGTCTAGAAGAAGTGCAAGATATTCTATATTCTACACTTGGACTACAGCATTGTGGTATATGTGGATCACTTTTGCTCCATCTACACCTTTGTGATATGCTTATTTTTGCTGCTGAAAATCACCTTTTCCACTTTTCTCTGAACAAATCCAGTAATTTTGCGACGTTTTTCCCCAAATCAATGCATTGGTTGGGAACATCTTAACCGGAAACCATGGTTGGTTATTACTTGTTACTAGTAAGTACAGGGGTTTCCGATTCCAATTTTCTCATGATCTAGTTCTGGGACAACAAAAACATCTGCATGATGGGGAAAATTGGATTATGTCTCATACATCAGAGCTTTCCATCCAGAGACATCTGACTCAAACCGAAAAAAACAAAAATCTAGGACCAAGATTTCTAGAATTTTCCAGGACCTGCCAACAGTTTCGGCCCATTTTTCTGCCCAAAAATCCAGCCGGGTGAAATTTTTTTCGCATTTTTCAGGACCATGTCACAGCCCTGGACTGGTCGCCCGTGAACTTCACCTTGGCCACCGGTGGATGGGATCGGAGGCCGCCATGGGATGGGCTGTGGAAGCGTCCAATTTTTTTGGGGTGACCCATATGGAATTATATCATCAATATATGGGTCATAATATATTTTCCATATAGTGATATGATCCATATAGTTGATTATAATTATGATATATTCATTTTTTGGTGATATTTCATATAGTAATTATATCACCAATATATCCAATTCATATCAGCATATTCATATGAGCTCATAATGATCATTATAAATTTGGTGATATTATGTGATATTCAAAGAGTAATTGGTGAAATATGGTAACTTCTTAGTATACTTATGTTGGCGTTTAACTTTACTATACCATTTAAATCACTTTTGAGAGTTACCTATTTACTATAATATTTTACTATACATATTTAATCACTTTGGCGGTTTAGTCACTTTTTACTATACCCTCTGGTAATTTAACATAGCTATTGAAAATGACCATTTATAGTGGATTTTCCCATTAAACCTGGTGATTTTCCATAGTTATGTTAGTTTACCAGAGGGTATATCACTGGTCAACCACAGGTGCTCCATCGGAAATCCCGCAGGTTCCGCATCTGGAAGATCCACGCGGAGGAAGTGGCGAAGTGCCGCGGCGGAGTCTGCGGAGACTTGGTGCCTTGGTGGATCGGCGCGGCCGCAGATTCTGGTCATTTTTTGGTATGAAGCCTGCAATTTTATCCAATTTTCATGAATTTTAGGGGTATCTAATTATGAACCATTAGTATCCATTAGTATGAAGCCTCCAAACCATTAGTATCCATTAGTATGAAGCCTCCAATTTTAGGTATCTGATTATGAATAACCATAGACATTTATGAAACATGTTCAGGTGAACCTTGCAGATATCCTTAAGAACATTGCTGGAAAAAGATCGGATGGACATAGAATGGCATACTATATATATATATATACTATATATAATATATATATATTATATTATATTATATAATATAATATAATATAATATAATATAATATAATATAATATATATATAGATGTTTTCCGGATTGTTTTTCAGGCTCACCAATCTCCATTGCTTCTTTCAGAGCTTGGTTCTATTTTGCCATGGGCCCGTAGGTACCATGGTCCACGAAGTTACCGGTAACCTTTTTAGCCTCGCAAGTTTCACGTCGTTGCATCCTGTCGCTCAAAATGTCTTTGTCAAACAAAAAGGACCTTTCTTTGGAACTCACGGTTCCGAACCGATCCTTTCACACTTTTTTATTGTGTTCCATACTGCCAAGAGCTATTTCCCAGACGCCGGAGCACGTGGCGCGGCATCCGCAGCTGCTGTGGTCGGTGGCCTTTGCGCCCGAAGGGCGGCAGGTGGCCGCCTGCCATGGTGCCGTGGGGCAGTCGCCCGCGGTACCTCGGTTTAGGGATGGGATAAGGTGAGGCCGTTGGCAAAATCGCTGCACAGAAACAAGGTGAATCGCTATACATAACTATACATAACTATGGTAATCCATAATAAACTAGGTGAATTCTATGGTTTATGGATGTTTATGGGGAGAGCGAAGTAGTTCAATCGAGGCAATGGGTTGATAAACCAACCTACCCAATCGGGGGGCCTTTTTTTTGCACCATGACACACCTGTTTTTTGGGGAAACCATTGAGATTTAACATGATTGGCAAGATTTGGGAACATTCATACCCATAGAATGATGATGATGATGATGATGATCATGATGATGATGATGATGATGATGATGATGATCCATGATGATCGATGATTGGTGATGATAGGTCTTATTCTTTTTCTTGGGCCGGATTATTTTCAGAGAAGCCCAGAGCAATTTTTTGGTGGTCTAAAGAACCATCAATACCATCAAAATTGGGAGTAAACAAGTCAGCCATTGGAAGCTGGAAGGACGGGATCAATAAATTTTTGGAAGGGATATCGGATATCAAAGCTAGATGAATGTCAATGTGAGTGCAAAGGACAGCAGTTTCATATCACAGTGGATTTGGAATTCTACCATGTAACAAAGATTCAGCAAAGATCCATGGAGATCTATCCTCTTGACCAAAGTGAGATGTGTCACCATTCCATCATTCACGAGAGAACTCCGTACCGATGTATTTGAACATCGTAGTGTACCATTGGTTTGCAGCAAAACAAACAAAAGCACCGGAACTTTCCATTTCAACAATTTTGAGATCTTCACATCTTTTGGGATAATTGATTCATAGATCTATATTTATTATAATATTTCAACAATATAATACATATTTAAATCCAGCAGTTTCCCCAAAGGGTTTTTCCCCAAACGGGCACCTCCTCTGTCGACCCAGGTGGTGGTCTACGAGGTCTCCACCGGGGAGAGGCTCCGGCGCTTGGGGCGACACAAAGATACGCCGCTGGCCTTGGGATTTTCGCCCTCCGGGGAATATCTGGAGCCTCGGCCGCTGACTCTTGGGGGGATGGGGTGGTGAGGGGTTTGGCCGGGATGTTGGTTGATGAATGTTGATGAAACCATTAAGTATTAGTATCTATTAGTTATATCCTCCTAATCAACCCAAATTCTTAGTCACTTGTAGGTGACGTGATGGGTGTGAAATGAGGGATGAAATGGGGGATGAAATGGTTTTTTTGAGACTTTGGGTGTGTCTGAAAATGGATAACATCAGGGGATTTACAAATAAATGGCAATTTCAATATTGAAACCCTTGACTACCTTAATGTTCCATTTGTGTTGCTTCAAAGCTTCAAAGGTGGATCTGCGAGAAACCGAAGACCCCCCCAGGTCGTCTTTCCGCAAAGGTGTCTGCTGGCATGGACCGCAAGGTCTTGATTTATTCGGCGACGGAGCACTTGGATGACATGCCGCTGGGTGATAAGGACGATGCCGAAGAGAGCCACTGGGCTTGACCATGTCCTCAAACTGCCAGTCTTGTAATACGTGATGATTTTGTTTTCAAGTAAAACTGCAGAAACTCCAACCGGTTTGAACAGCGTACTAGCGTATCAATACATACATTGAGTCATTTCTGGTGGCTCATCCTATCTCATGCTTCAAATCCCAAAAAATCTCAGATTGTATATCCTCTTTTTAGATCCTCGTGCTGAGGATTGAACTGGCTGCACGATCTGGAAGATCTGCGGGGTGGGAGTCGAAATGTCTGCTGGCCGAGACTAAGAGTTGTTTCTTTCGAGTAAACATCTGAAAAAAATGGATTTAAGTAGGATTAGTATGCAATTAGTGGGGTTTTGGCAGGACTTTATTTTTATAGCTCACCACTAGATTTTGGTAGGGGGTGCTATAAGTTGTATTTTATATACCCAATGGTGTGAGATAGAAGTGAAACGATAAGGGATAGACATGATAGAAGCCACCATTTTTCAAAGGGCCAATTGATGGGAGTTAGAAGTAATATGTTAGGGAATGGACGTGATACCAAGAGAAAGAAACAGAAATGATAGAGACAGAACTGATAGCTGGAACGGGACACCATTGATGGAACCAACAAGCAATGGAGACATTTCGAACGAAGTTGCACTTTGCGAACTGAAACTCAGGCAAGTAGCATTGCAGATCTTGCACGGGAATTGGCCCGCATCTCAGTTTTCTTTCACCGGCAGCAGAGGAAATGAATTTGAAACAGATGAGTTTGCCAAAAGGAACATTGGAGGCAAGAGTTGGGAGATTTATTTACAGTGTCCTGAGACCAAAAACTACCTTCGGGTGATCAAACATGGCAAGCTGGAAATTCCTGCATTTAGTTGGACGAAGTTTCGCAGCTATAAACCTCCATTTATCAGGGATTTCCCATATTTTAAATCATGGTTTTTCCATTGTTTAGAATGTGGGTAAAACAATAAACCATCCCCCAGTCATCACCACAAATAGGTGGTATAAACTGTATAAACTCTTCCCAGTCATGGGTGGTAAACATGACATTGCTTTTCCCGCGTTCGGGGATTTCCCAACAATCGCCATGTTTGATGAAATCCACCGCAACGCGGGTGGCTGTTGACCCAGTGAACTGAATCTGAGCCTCAGGCCCGTCGGAACCGCTCAAAGACCAGAGGTGCGCGGCGCCGGCTGCAATGCCTAGCTGTTTGTGTGGGTTTCCTCCTTGGGAAAGATGTAAAGATTCACATTTTCATGAATTTTCCATGATGTGCAAGGTTGGCAATCATGAAAATCCTCCTTTCTGCAAGGTTTTCAAGGTTTCCAGATTGGCCATGATTGAGAATCAATGGGAAACCTATCCCTACAAGTTACGGAGAACCTCACTGAGTCGGGTATGTAAAGACACAGAATATCCCCAAATGATAAACGAATTATGATGAATTATGCCAGCCCAAAGGGAACTGGAGAATCTTTTGGTCTGGTGCATCAACGCTATATAATGTCATATAATGTCAGTATTTTACACTCGGATCTACCATCCCCAAGTTTTTTCAATTTTTCTGGTGTAAACCATCAGTCCATATGGATGGTTGATGGCATTGCTTTACCAATTTGTAAATGATCAATCCATATGGTTGGTATCAATCCATATGGGTGGTATCATTTGCCATAAATTTGCCATGTATAAAGCATCAATCCATATGGGTGGTTTATTGCTTCACCAACATGACAACTTATATACTCCACAGAGGTGCCCTTTCGTCAGGCTCCAAGTCCGGCTCTTTCCGTGCCATGCCTGGCGTGGCGTTCCTGTCCCTTGGATGGCGCTGGTTGCTACCCTTCCGTTGTGCAAAAGCATAAAAACTCCAAGACGTAAATAGACGTAAGAAACAAAGAATCTTGAACCCATCATCCCAGAGTTAGTAGAAACCTTTAGATCCAACTGCCATTTTCAACCGATGAACAACTTCCGACCTTTCTGTTTTTTTTCGAGCCATCTGAGGTGATAATTTTTTGCCGGCGACGAAGTGGCCGAAATGGCTGGCTCGCGACCGGTTTGTAGGAGATCCCTTGGCTGACTGGTTCCTTTCTGCTGGCGACCTGAAAAGCGGATGTGGTGTGGAGGGTCCAGGTGGCGAAAAAAAGGTGGAGAAGATGTTTTGGACCCATTGATTTTCACACTTGAAATTTTTGCGACATTTGAACACATTGAATGATTTCCAGAGATTTGGGCATCCTGCCACCCCCAATTCTCAAGCCAAAAGGGGTGGCGCTAGATATAGTTTTCTTTCCTGGCGGTTTGTTTTTTAAATCTATAGTTACCTCTCAAAAATAACCAGGACATAGTTAGATTACCATGTTACCCTCTGGTAATTTAACATAGCTATTGAAAATGGCCATAGAAATAGTGGATTTTCCCATCAAAAATGGTGATTTTCTATAGTTATGTTAGTTTACCAGAGGGTACCTTATCTGTCGTTACCTTATCTATTTTTACCTCATCATTACACCCGCCCCGGCTGCGATGGAGTCCAAGGTGACGTGGGCTGCAGGTCTTTTTTTTGGGATGGACGTAGCGCGTTCTACGATGCCGAGTTGATCAAATCCTCCGAATTTTACTGAAACTCTTAGATTTTCATAGAAAAACATATGCAAACAGTTGATGTCATACACACATATACAAAAAACATCAAAAAACTGTTTGTTACAACAACCATGACGACGATGTTGCAGGTTACCAGGCTGCATGACATGTGGATTTTGTGATGGTCCACCTGATCACCTTCGTGACCGCAAAACGACACTTGGAAAATGGTGGCAGGCAGGATTTCCCTCACGATTTCCATCCGCAACATTCAAGATTTTGGGGTACCATATGTCAGCTATGTTCAATCTTGTTGTGGAGACGGTGGAGACCTTAATCCCTTGGATATATTTGAATATATTGGTTATACTTGAATATCTTTGAATAAAGTAAACTTTTCGATGCTATACATTGACTGAGACAAACATATCTGGTAGGTGCCTGATATTTCAAACCACCAGACCCATATGTGGGAAAAGGCTAGCGGCGATAGCCCAACTTTTGATCCAAATTCTCTTCATTAGCACAGGAAGCAACACAAATCGGACAATCTCATTCCTCGAACAGCAAAATTCTTGATCCAATCTGTGGCCTGAAAATTACTAGAGGTGGCAGCAGGAGTGCCAATCATCCCATTTTGGCAGCTGTTTCTTGCTCCAAAACTACCGTTGCTTTTCCAAAAATTCTGATGATGTTGATCCGCAGTCGCTTGACGATGTGCGGAGTGGGGTGGTTCCTGGAATCCGCGCGACATGCCTTAAGAAATCCCCAAAAAACCGGGTCAATGGTGTTGAGTTACTCAATTCATGGATATTCATGCAGGTTCTATTTTCATGGGGAATGTGAGGATCAATCAGTGCATTGCATGGTACCACCAAAAATGGACAGACGAATCTTGGCCAAAATGGACAAATTTTTCTGGCTCGATGGGCTCGATCACCTCCCAATGCTTGGTGATTTTGATCTACAAAGATGTCCCCTTGGTTTGGTCACAATACGCCATCTGGATACATTTGGAAACTCTTGGAGGTTTCATATTTGATGATTTTGTTTGGAACGAAACCCATGGGTTTCTTTAAAAAAATCCTCGTGGCCAAATAGCCCCTTACTTGGACTTGCACAAGTCCGACGTACATTCTGCAGTTTTAAACTGGCTGAAGACAAGTTTCTCTCCATGAGGCACATGGAATCATGCCTTTTAAAACTGGTTAAACTGTGTCCTGCCTTCCCTTTCGAGGCTCCTGCCGTCAAGCCATGGGTTTCTTGAAACATGGCCGATCCAACTGCGATCCGGAGCCCTGGCCCTAGGTGCCCTGCTGTTGGCCATGGCTATGGCAGGGCGGCTGAACCAAAATGTCTTTGAGGAAGGCGCCTGGCTTGGATTTCTTGGATCTGGTGACCAGATTTCTTATTGAAATGACCATTCCGAATAGGATTTCATAGGGGATTTTCCCCTTAGAAAGCCATGGTATACCCATTGAAATCGCCATTTTTCAGAAATAGTTTCCACCATTTCTAGAGGGGTTCCCCAAATCACCATGATAGCCTCTGGTAATCTGACATGGCTTTCTGGAAAATCTTCTATTTTTTCATTGAAATGACCATCCATAGGGGGAGGTACCTCGGATAAATCCCGGAAAAAAAGTGAGAACACCATGTACTATCCGGTATCAGCTCCATGGCTTGCTGGAAAATCTACCTTTTATAGTTCGATCCTTTCCCAGCTACAACCACCATTTAGTTTGGGGATTTTCGAGCCAGCTATGTTTTGATTGCCGAAGGGTATGACAAGCTTCAGATTTTATTTTTCAGCAACAGGGATGATCGAATTCTTTGAAACTAGGATGGGAAACCCCGATTTAGTTCTAGGAATTAAGCAGCGATGAGTGTGAATTCCTGAAAATGGAGGGCCTTTAGACCAAATAATGAGAAGCCTTTTGTGGGTCCATAATTATCCCAGTTTTCACCTGTATCCAGTTTTTGGTGGCAAAACTGGGCTTCTTTGTGAAGAGGGAGGGATTTTCTTGTTGAAAGATGTAGTAGAAACTCAATGGATCATGATGTGGGTATGGCTGAAGACATGCTGAAGATATTTGAATAAATCGATCTTCCCCATGTAAAAAAGATGTTGGTGCCACCCCCAATTCCAGGATTTGTTTTTTTTCAAGGCCCTTCTGTCAAAATTGGACAGTTCCATTTGTCAAAATGCGTGGTTTCAAATTGGCAGTGTGGTCCCAAAAAAATCAGGGTATCGGGTATAGGTACAGTGCACGAACTTGCTGCACAGAGAACTAACAACTGGGTGGTGGTTTGGAATATGTGTTATTTTCCAGCCCTAAATATGGGACGATGACGCCGATTGAAAAGGCAAAATTCCCTGCGGCTGCAACAACAAGGCATCGGCTGAGGGATCTGAAGCACTGCTACATGCCGGTGAAAGCAGACATAACGTGAGCTTCTTGACGAGTTGTGACTTGAAATTGTGTGTATATCTTTCATCATCTTTCGGTCTCTTGATTTTTTTTGAGCCCTTGAATTTCTTGGGATATTTGATGCTTTCCTGATGTTTCTCTAAGAAACATCTCCCCTTCACATCTGCAGATATCCGCAGTATCCACAAAATTCTCCTAGTATTTTTCTCCACTTTGCGTGGCAGTCACGCAGATTCAGTGACGCAGGTGGGTCTCCTGGCGCCCAAAGAAAAGCTGCAGGGAATTGACATCGCACCGGACACCCGCATGCATCACTGACGAGTCTATGTGGATACGATGGGAGATATACAGGGGTTCACCCAAACATAGGAAATTTGTTCAAGGATATTACTGTACAGAGATTATATTTAGGAATTTCGATATAATTTGCAGATTTCCAGCTTTTCGGTCTGTTTTGGGTTGCTACAACAGGATGTAACAGGATATAACCAACAATGTGTGATGGTGTAGGTTTGTCCGAAAAACACGGGGATCTCCTAAAATTAATGTCTGGCAATGTTTTAAGTGAGCCACGTTCTAAAACCCTTGGGTTTATGTTTAGGAAGGGGCCCGTGGTAAGCGTGTGTTTAGGAAGGGGCCCGTGGTAAGCGTGTGGCGTACGTAAAACCCTGGTGAGCCAGCGTAAGCTCAGCGTAAGACAAGATATCCGCATAAGCAAAACCTGTGTGCGCAGCAAAATGTAAGCAATCGCGTAATCCGTAAGCATTTCATAGCATTTGGTGCCAGGATACAAGACATTTTGCATTTAGGACATGGCTCAAGTAGGACAATGGGATGCTACCCTCCGGTAATCATGGCGGTGGAGAATGATCTATGGGCAGCTGAGACAATCATCTATAAATTTAATCATGGCTAGAGACATTTCGAATATTAGTGCCATGTTTGCTTACCAAAGTAAGTTAGTCATGACCATAGAGACATTTCTATTGCAAAGTAAGTTATATAAGTTATATAAGTGATATGACACAGTAAGATTTTCATACTAAACTGGCGTAATGAAAATGGATAGGATGGCCATGGAAGCCATAGAAAGATGGCCATTTGTTCCCCGGTAAGTTGTCCTAAGGACGCCGCCTGTGCCAAGCCGGGGGTGCATGCTTCGAAGACGCCGGGAAGGTTCTGCTCCTGTGATCAGGTGCGGGTGCCATGGATTGCCATGCTACCAGGCATAGGTGCTGATGACTTGGGAAAAACCATGGACATTGGGTGGAGATTTTCAGGGTGAAATTTCCACGGTTTTTTTCGACACATGACTATGTTTTTTATAGATTTTTAGGACTCAACCAGATGAATTCTGGATACAAAAAATGGCTATTTCTAGACTAAACCAGATGATATAGGAAATGGAGAGTTCCGATCCGGAGAGCCACCCAAATAGTCGGATTCGAGTCGGTTTCGGGTTTCGGGTTTCGGGTTTCGGGTTTCGGGTTTCGGGTTTCGTCGATTGAAACCAACTTTCGCTGTCGGGTTTCGGGTTTCGGGTTTCGTCGATTGAAACCCACTTTCGCTGTCGGTTTCGGGTTTCGGGTTTCGGGTTTCGATCGGCCCTGGGGAAGTTAAGTCTTCAGAGTTTCGGGTTTCGGGTTTCGGGTTTCGGGTTTCGATCGGCCCTGGGGAAGTTAAGTCTTCAGAGTTTCGGTTTCGGGTTTCGGGTTTCGATCGGTCCTGGGGAAGTTAAGTCTTCAGAGTCGGTTTCGGGTTTCGGGTTTCGGGTTTCGGGTTTCGATCGGCCCTGGGGAAGTTAAGTCTTCAGAGTCGGTTTCGGGTTTCGGGTTTCGCTGGTTGAAACCAACTCTGCAGACCTCTCTCCGGATCACGTCTCGAAATTGAAGAGTTGATCAGATTCTCATCTACCAAACCGGATGATATATACTTGTTCCAGGGTACCAATGGATGGTGAAATCAGCTGTAGTAAGTCAGGATAAGCAGCAACCAACTGAAGAATCAGGGTTGAAACAGCCTCTGGAAATCCTGGCGTTCGTCATTTCAGTTTTGAATCTGTCATTTTTGGTTATCCTTTGCGGATGTTTTTTCTGTCAAATGGGATGATCAGCACCCGTTTTTTTTGATGAGAACATTTGTTTCCCGGAGGGGGAGATATTCAAAATCAGATCTTTCGACAAGGGAAAAAATGGAGCCCCTTGAATTGATCTTGGCAACTTCGAGATCCATCTCTGCACCCTACAGTTCAGATGGAACCCCAAAGTTGCGCCATAGTCAGTGATTAAAGCATCACAATTGGGACCTCGGCGCAGGGCAAGGCCAAGAATTGGAATGTGGCCGCGACAGCTGCACAAAAGAGGCAACCGGGTTCAATTGATCCTGAGCGAAAAGTTGGGAAGGGATCTACTACAGAACGAGGATTTTTGGGTTTTTGAAGATTTTTTGGCCATTTTTTGGCAGTACCATTTGTCCACTGGAATTTGACGGTCAGTTTGCTGCTTCCCGACAGACAGGTTGGATGATGCCTTGCAGCCCAAGATTGAGGCCTTGAAGAGCTTGATGGAAAAGCTACAGGAGCCTCTGGCTGGCTGGAACCATGAGATGAGAATGAGAATGCGCGGCAGTGTTTTGGTTAATCGGGATGATACCGGGTCTAATGGGACCATATTATGCTCTATTGTGGGATTTCCTGTCAACACAAGCTAGTAGAACCGATGAAGAAGAGGTTGGAAAATCATGAATTTCCAAATAGCCGTGATAGAAACTGCTGTAGACTATGACTTTCCTGCGATTTATAGGCAGTAATCATAATATATAATCATGACATTTGAGAACCATGACTCACAATGAGTCAAACATATGATTCTCATGATTTGTGGCAGAAAATCTCTCAATGATAAACATTTTCCCAATGATTGTGGCGGATTTTTTCTCCCAACTTTTCTCCATATCTCCCAAGTCGCTCGCCTAGGAGAAGATGGGCGTAGAGATCGACAGCTCGTCCATCGGCAAGGTGAAACCCAAGGTCACCAGCTTCCCAAGGGAGCGCGGGGGCTGAGGGGCCGAAACCGGGGGTCGTTGGGGCCGTGGAGAGGCCAAGCTGTTTTCAAAAAGGGGTGGTGAAATTTTGAGACATGGTGAAACTGGTGGAACTGAGTTGTTTTTTGAGTTGAACATGAAACTATGAGTGTTTTCCAATGTTGTTCCATTGGTAAATGCCCCCTAGTGATCACCGGACACACGCACAGAACAGCCTGTGATGGGATAATAAGTTGCCCGAATGGGGTGTTGTTCATTTTGATCTCACTCTCTTGAAGCAGCGCATGGTGCAAAGTCATTAACCTTTTAAAATGGATGGTTTTATAATTTCCATGCACAAATACAATCAAATACATAAGCAATACTGAAACCAACAGTTTTTGTGGGTCTATTCATCTATTCATATGGGGTACTCCCCCAATCATCCAAGTCATGAGGCCATTTTAATATAGAAACCGCTCTGGTTGGTGGTTTTAAACATGTTTTATTTTCCATTTCATATATGGGATGTCATCCCAACCCCATTGACTTTCATATTGACTTTCATATTTTTCAGAGGGGTAGGTATACCACCAACCAGCAATGGTTTTGGGGTTCCCCGATTTAGGAACACCCCATGTCTCCGCATCGGCCCAGGGAGGGCGAGGGTCTCTGGGTGTGCTGCTGCCAGAGCCAAGCTGCGGGCAAGTGCAAGAGAAACGCGGAGGCTGGGCCATACTTCATGGTGATGACATGGTGATGACATGCACCAAAAATATCCCAAAATGGTGATGCAACCATGACAAAGTATGATTCAAGCGTCCAAACATGTGGATTTAACCATCAGCAATGAGGATTCAGCCATCAAGAATGGTGACTTAACCAACAAAAAATGGTAGTAACATGGGAATATTTGTGAGGATCAGCGATGATCTTTGAATGTTTTGGAGAGTGACGCGTTCCCCCAGAAGAGTGTCTTGTTCTAATACAAAAGGAGGGTTTGGATTTGATCCCATTTTTTTTGCCTGATTTCGCAGAAAGCGCAGAAAGCGAGTTCATCACGTTGATATATAGAGGTTTCCTAAAATGGGGGTACCCCCAAATCATCTTTTTAGCAGGATTTTCCGTGAAATAAAGCATCAATTTTTGGTGTACCCCCATGGCTATGGAAACCCCCATATCACAGAAAGTGGCTGGGAAACTGGCTACTACACATACTCTCAGACACCCACCATCATCAACGACGCCACAGATGGAAAATGGATGGATCAAGCGGGGTGTCCATCACGCAGTCGGGGAGCCACAGATGGGGTTCAGCTGCCCCGTTACCAGCGAATAGCCGTGGCTATGAAAGTTCGTTGAAACACGTGTCTGTAGCGCACAGATTTGCGAGTAACTTTGCATTCTGGTTGCCTCTAATTGCCTCTAACAATGATTTAATTGTGGTTAACAATGATCATTAATGTGGGTAAAACAATGCCATAAACCACCCATGACTGGGAATGGGTTATATATACCACCTAATGGCCTCTAACTCCTCTACCTTGAAATTTCACGATTTTCACAGGTGTTTTCCAATGTTTTCCACATCCGATGCGAGTTTGATGGTTTGGGCCATGGAGTCATCAACGCCCAGGCCCCAGACCGTGCCTGTGAAGACGAATTTGCCACCGAGACGACGGCAGAGGTGAACCCCGGGGCGCAGATGTGAGCAAGTTGTAGGATATGAATGGATATGAGATCTGGAAAATGTATGAACATGTATGAACATGTGAAGTAAGTATGAGGTTTATGAACTATAGTTACTCATCTAATTTGCTAATAGCAAGATGCGCATAATGCATCATATTTCTGTGGAACATGGTCAAAGCCAGTTGTAATTATCCGGAATATCAGGATATCCCTTACTGTAGACATGGCTGATAATTTGTTTTCAGTACGTGATAGTGATATATATATATATAATATAAGTTTCTCATAAGCACAGTGCACACATGAGATAGTTCCTCATCAGCTACTAGCCATGCCCAGTTGTGAAGAAATCCGGGAAGCTTTGATCCCTGGGAACCATGAGCCAAGCTATGCCAAGCTCCTCACAGCACTCTGGCGCAAAGGTCGACAGAAAAAGATCACAAGCACATCACAATGATTCCAAATTTTCAGGGGGATTTTGAGAAAACTTTTCCAAACTTAGAAAAATCAGGAATCCCCCCAATCATCCCAATCCAAACTTGAAACGGGTTGTTCAACGTGTTGAAACTCCTCCCATCGGCAGGTGACGGAACCCGAGGAGGAACCCCAGGAGCCTCTGACCACCGTGGAGCCTCTGAGCACCGTGGAGCCGGAACCAGAGACGGAAGGAGCGCAGTTTCTGCCGGAAAACACGGGGAAAAACACATGGAATCAGGGCGAATCATCCAAAAATGTTGGTAAAATCCGGGAAAATCATGGGATTTTACCAATTTACCATGGGATTTACTGTGTTTGTTTCACCAAGAATTGATTTTTAACATGATTTAATACGACATTTTGCAACAAGGAAACATGAAAGGGAAGATGACATTGGTCAATGTGCAGAGAGAAAGTCTACCTCTTAATTTTCGCTCATACAGTGCCTGTCCAGGTGTCCAAATTGACAACGCCCTGTCCAGTTTCCAACAGGTCTTCAACTTTGAACCATACCCATGATAATACCCATTGGCCAAAATATGATATACAGTATCTGGTTCTAAACCATGAACTCCCAGCATCTATTGATAATCTATGACAATCCCATGGTTTTGTGCTTGAACCCATATTTTTCCATCATTTTTCAGGCACCGACTCAAAAAACCGAGTGAAATCCGCTGATTCCCGGATGCCGAGAATCTGCGCAGGCGAAGAGGAAGAAGTCACAGGTGCCTCCCAGAAAGGATGAAAACATGGCGAGAAGTTGGTTGACATCTATAGAAAAATAGAATGGAATATGATGGAATATACTGGTGTGTTTGGTGGATTTCTTAAGGTTTAGCTGCTTAGCTTGTCTGTTTTTGTTTGTGAATGGTGATCGAAGTGATTCATCCGATCTTGTTGGGGATTACCATACCTTAAAAATCATGCCCACGATATGGCAGTGGTTAGGATTCCAGACGCCATTCACCGAAGATGGGGATGAGTTAGTCCCTGTGAGACCATCGGTTGATGGGGAACGGGAATGAACATCCATTTTGTGGGCAACCGGGTTTCGATCTATCGAGCTTGGGAGGGATATGTAGATTTGATGTCGATCTTGTGGAAGCTGTATTTTTTCCATACGGACTACTTGCTATGTACATGCAGAGTTATGCAGAGTCTTTAGTGCATCGTATGCTGTATGCCAAAGGAATTTGCTTTAATCTTGTGGGATTTACATGGTAACCATCATCACCATCGTGCACTTCTTGTAGCAAAAAAACATTGACAACCATATTTCAAGATTTTCCAATCTACATGTTTCCAATCATCATTACCTTTTTTGATAGTTCTCAACATATTGTTGATGTTACAACCAATGTTGCAACCACTGTTTCGAACCACTGTTTCAAAACATGTTTCAATTCAATATTGTTCAATTTATACATGTATGTACATATATGATACATACCTATATACAATATATATATATATATCAATTTATATATATATACAATAATATATATATATACAATATATATATATATACAATATATATATATATAGAATGTATATATATATATACAATATATATATAGAATGTATATATATATATATACAATATCAATATATATATATATACAATATATATATATATACAAGATATTTCCATCTTTCAAAATCCAGTGGTACCTGTCCCATTCTTTGGATCGCCTTTTTTTTTCAGCAGTCCCCTGGCCAGCCAGGCTCCGGGGCGTCCGAGGCGTCCGAGGCGCTGCAAAAAGGTTGATTTATCAGTTTTTAGCCAGGGTAATGGTTAATAATTATCATTAATTGTTAATATTGATGGTTTTCTAGGTCCATAATGGTTAACAATGGTTTTCTAGGTTTTTCTTATGGTGTATGATGTTCAAGAGGCAAAAATTATGGTCTGTACATGGGAATTGCACGATGGTTGCAACCAGTTTGACATTCATAAGTATGACGAATTTGACAATGCAGTGGTTTGCCTGAATTTTCAGAAGCAGCATAATCTGATCAGGAAGTGCTCGGCACTTTACCCGGTGAGGTTCACCAGGTCGTCTTGGAACATTGAGTCGAAGCAGTGGTACATTGGATCCTTTGTTCATGAGACGGCCGAACAAGCAATCGTGGCATGTGTGGTGTATCGTCAGGGTTGTGCATCGGCTAAAGTCATTACCCTGCCCAGCCGTTGCAGGGTTGGATTGCTGAGGGACCGTCTCAGCATCACCCATGGGACATTTCTCAGGCTCAATGGAACCGTGGTCAGTGACACGATTGGCCTTGTGAGTGGAGATGTACTTGAATACCATGAAGCAGACATTAGTCACTCATTTTGTATGTCTCGTAATTGTCCCAAAGTCCAGATCTGTTTAGATGCTGCGATTTCTGTTCACACCCCGGCATTTGAGGATGATGGTGATGCCTTTGAGGTCCTTCCGTATCCTCCGATCAGGGATGCCCTGATCTGTGATGATGGCTGGGTTTTTCAGTGTATACCTGAGGGATTAGATCTGCACAAAGCCACTTTTGAAGCTTTGCACACACAACCAGACGTCCATAGTGAGGTTATTGAATATGAACTCTATGTGGATGGCGCGACACGGGGCGATGTCTCAGGATGGGCTGTGGTAGCAGTTGCTTGTACCAGCTCAGGTCGTATCTTCAAAGGTTGCATCGGAGGTCTGACTGACATTGATCAGGGGTCTTCCACATGGATCGGTGCTGGAGCGCACTCCAACATAGATGCCGAACTATCAGCAATGGCTATTGCCACAGCTTTCGCATGTTTTGGTTCTGCCGAGTACAGCTTTGTCATTCGACCAGACTTGGCCCTCAGCAAGAGGTTCCTGGAAGTAGAGTCGACGAGTAGGCAGGACGGGGTGATTGCCAAAGTGGTACACATCCTGGGGCAGACACGCCCAGGTAATGTGAGAGTGCTAGAAGTGCGTGCACACCGTGGTGATCCGTGGAATGAACTTGCTGATGCTGTAGCCAAGCATGTTGTATCACATCAAAGTGAAATTGGAACCTTTTCGTTACAAACTTTGAATGTGTTGGCCAAGTCCCCCTCCACTCAGAAATGGGAATGGCTGCGTGTTCAATCCGGATCGTATAGCAAGACGATGCCTGTCCTGCATGGCTCCGCTGTCTGGCAGCCTGTGCAGTCAAGTAAACGAATTGGAGTCAAAGTGGAAAGTGCGGGCTCAGAGTACAATGACATGTTGATTTCTTTCAAGGTAGCCACTTACAATGGACTGGCATTGAACGATGATGATCAATCTTCTGCAATTTCCGGTAGCAGATCAATTCGTTTGGATCATCAACTTCACCGGCACAAAGTTGCCATTGTTGGCATTCAAGAAACACGAACACAATCGGGTTCCAGATGCACTGACAATTACAAGATTTTTTCATCTGGGTTTCAGCAATGTGGTCGCTCCCGCCACTTTGGGTGCGAACTCTGGATCCATAAGTCTCTTCCCCTCTGCAAAGCCAAGGATGGAACTTGCATTAGGCTTGGAGACTGTAAGGTCACTGTCAGGTTCTCCGAGCCACGTTTGCTTGTTGTGCGCTTTGAGGGGCCAGTTGACCTGTGTGTAGTTGTTGCCCACGCCCCATGTGTTTCAGCCGAAAGGTCTATTGATCAGGTGCAGATTTGGTGGACACACTTGGCTGATAAGATTGCTACAGGGGCGCATAGTAACATTGTTGTCCTGATTGATGCCAATGCCCCCCTTGCCGATAGGGAGACACAGTATTTCGGCACACATCAAGCGGAGAGAATCAACCCACAAGGCCTCGAATTCCAGGATTTCCTGACAACCAGCGAGTTGTTTGCACCTTCCACCTTTTCAACTCATGTTGGATCGTCGGCCACATGGCAGCATCCGAGAGGTGATCAACTTCGAAGGGATTATGTCCTCCTTAGTCGTCCCCTCTTCATGCTATGTGCAAATTCGTATGTCATCGGGGACTTTGATGGCGGTTTCGGGCACATCGATCACTGCCCAGCAGTTTGTGCTCTGGAAGGTATTTTGCCGGTGCAGTCTCCAGTCAAAAAGATCCGATGGGACTTTTGCAAGATGCAAAACCCTGAAGCTCAAAAAGCATTTGCGGAATCATTGGCTACCCTGCCTTTGCCGTCTTGGGACGTTTCTGTTGACGATCATTCACAGTTGCTTGAAAGCAGTATTCTTCAACTTGCTTCACAGCATTTTGGCACATCTCGACGTGAGAGATTGCGTCCGGTGTTGAGCGACGCCACTATTGCTGGGATTCAGTTGAAACGCCAAGTTTTGGACATGGCTAGGAAACAAGGTTTTCATGACAAGCAGGTAGTCGATGAACTCAAGTCGCTGGAGAAGGTTGTCAGAATTATGGTTCTTGCAGATCAAAGGAAATGGTACGCTGACTGGCTTGATTCAATCAATGACAAGTCAGAAAGACATGACACTGCACAGGTTTACAAGAAACTCCAAAGACTTGGCCGTAGGAAAAAAGACCTTAGTAAAGGACCACGGCCATTGCCGAAGTTGCAGGTCTCCGAAAATCAGTTTGCTCAGTCCTTTGAAGAATGCCAGACTGTGTGGAAGAACCAATTTGCTGTCATTGAGGCTGGAATTGATGTCTCCGAAATCCAATTGGCCCAACTGCATGTTGCATCGGAGTCTGAGTTCCCACCTGATGCTGGTAACTGTCCCGATCCCTGGCAGGTGTTGGCAATGATCAGGAGGTTGAAAAACGGCAAGGTTCCGGGCCCCGGGCAACTTCCTGTTGATGTCATCAAGAGTGGAGGCATTGCCATGGCGAAGGTTCTTACACCTTTGCTGGTCAAGGCATCGTGGCACATGAAGGAGCCTCTCAATTGGAAAGGTGGTCTCCTTATTCCACTTTTCAAAGGAAAAGGATCGCCCTCAGAACCCTCTGCATATCGCTCGATTTTCCTATCCGATGTGTGTGCAAAACTGCACCATGCTAATGTTCGTAAACATTTAGCAGATACGTGGAATGCAGATGCGAAGCTGATCCAGCTGGGGGGGAAGAAGGGCTGTTCCACCGATGTTGCCCATCACCTGCTCCATGCACACCTTGCATGGGCCCGCAGTGCAAATGTATCGTGTGCAATCCTTTTTGTCGACCTGCAGTCTGCTTTTTACTCCATTTTGCGCTCTTCCCTTTTCCATGGTGAGTTTCATGATGACACCATCTGCTTTGCAATGAAGCAGCTTGGCATTAAACCGGAGGAATGGCAGGAGATTAAAGCTTGTATTGCAGCTGATGCTGCGACAGAGGGACTTGGACGACATCAGGAAGGCATCTTGCGTGATATGTTTTCAGGCACACATTTCATGATGCAAGGGCTCCCTGGAAAAACAGCAACGACGAGGGGAACTAGACCAGGGGATCCTGTTGCGGATATTTTGTTCAATATGGCTTTCAGATTGGTCGTTTTAGATGCACGTCTCAAAATTGAGCAGTCAACGGGCATGTCTTGCTTTGGTTCACCGGAAGCTGCTAGTGATGTTTCAACAGCGTGGCCGGTGCCTGCACGTGGATTCGCAGAAATCACTTTTGTAGATGACATTGCATATGCGTTACATTCGTTGTCTCCAGATGATGTCATCAGCAGCCTTCAAACCGTTTGCTCATGTTTGCATGATGCTGCAGCGACCAGAGGGCTTGTGATCAATTACCAGGCAGGAAAGACCGAAGCCTTGTTGAAACTTGCTGGACCTGGCTCAAAAGCCACCAAGCATAAGGTCTGGCATGCATGTGGAGGCAAGCTGTCTGTTGTCACAGAGCATGGGGTTCAACAGTTGCAAGTTGTGCATGCATATAAGCACCTCGGGTCTTACATGCAAGATCATGCAGTGATTCAGAAAGATCTTCGGTACAGAGTTGCCCAGGCCAGAAAGGCCTTTGGGCAGTTGAGCCGGCAATTTTATGGAAAAAGAAATGTCCATGTGAAGACGAAGAGTGCAGTTTTTGCAGCGCTGGTGATGTCAAGACTGACTTATAACGTCCACACATGGGCCTGGCTGTCCGACAAGGATATTGTGCAATGGGAAAACGGGATTAGAGCTCAAGTTGCGTCGTTGGCTCACCATGTCATTCGACCGGTTCCGCCATTTCACTTTTCCACAGCTGAGCTTTGTGCATTGGTTGACTTGAGTGCGCCTCAAGACATTCTCCATGCTAATAGGCTTCGTTATGTAAAGAGAGCCATTCAGTCAGCGCCAGCTGCATTGTGGACTTTCTTGCATGAAAACCAAAATGAGCATTCATGGTTGAGGAATCTGATGATCTCATATGAGTGGATTCGGAAATTTCTGCCGAGGTCGACACTGCCTGACTTCAATTCTTCCGCGCATGTGCTCAATTTCATTGCTATCGACCAGAAATGGCTTGGACGTGTCAAGGCTGCTCTCAAATCATGCCTTCGATGCAATGTCGCACATGCGAATGGAAAACTCTGGACATGCAAGCTGCAACTGCAGGTATCTAAGTATGCAGGGTTGCCTGATATCATCAAGACTCCCAATGAGGGCAAGTGGAAGTGTAATCTCTGCAGTGACAGTTTTGCTTCCAGGAAAGCCCTTGCAGTCCATGCAAGACATAAACATCAATATCGTACTCAGATAAAATATTTCATCCTTGGAGATGAATGCTTGGCATGCGGCAAAAAGTTTTTCAGCAGACCGCGGCTACTTGCGCATATCCATGCCGTTCGAGTTTGCAGAGAAACATATTTTGCGTGTTTCGTGCCTGCACCTGAGGAGGAAGTGGAACAAATTGAAAATGAGGACCGTGAAAGGGCACGGGACCTTCGTGCCCAGGGATGGTTGTCGTCCAAAGCGTTTCTCCCAGTCACGAGAGTTTGCGGGCCATTGCTTCCCGGAAGTGGAACAGCAGAGGCAGCCAGCATGCAAGCTAAGTGGCGTGATCGCATTCCTCAAGCTGGTTGCAGATTTGAAGGCTTGGACGGATTTTGTGAACAAGCTGGTGAGAAGCAGAAAGAGGAGGTTGAAATACTCCCGTTTCTTCTCCAGTCCAATGGAGGCAAGCTGAAAGGAGATGCAGGTGTTTTCCAGCAGTTTGGTCTTGCCGCGGAGGCAGCAAGGCTTCACATCACCTGTTTCACGTTCATCCATTTTTTTTAGTGGGTTTCGACGAGCAGGCGATTTACAACACTGCATAGAGAGCCATGAGATCGTTGGCACCAGCCATGTCTTCTGTATCTCAATAGACCTATGTTTGGCCAAGAAGCATTCAGACCTTACAGATCAAGATACCAAGCAGTTTTGGATTTCCAAAATGAAACAAGGGCACATCATTGGTGTGGGTGGAGGGCCGAGTTGCGAAACATGGTCCGCTGCACGTCATGCCCCTGAAGGACCTGCCCCAGTGCGTTCGTATGATGCTCCTGGGGGCTTCCAGGATTGTCTGGTAGGCAATGGAGCCAAGTTGCAACAGGCACGAAGTTAATCCAATTCTTGGTTGATCTTTTGGTTGTGGCCGCACAACTGGGTCTTTGTGGCTTTCTTGAACACCCTCAATTCCCAGTTTGGCTGATGAGAGTGAGACCGGCGTCCATCTGGATGCTCAGATCTCTTCGTACACTGGCCAGACTGGAATGCATTCAGCTATGTTCATTCGACCAATCCATCTACGGGCTTGGTGCGACCAAGCCTACCACTCTCATGCTCTTGCGGTTGAGCACCTTCAAGGACTTGACGCTCACGAAAGGTCGAGGTGGTCGATGTTCACATCCATCCGGGCACCGCCCATTGCAAGGAATTAGGCAAGATGGCTCATTCAATACTGCCAGGGCCAAAATTTACCCTGAAGCAATGAACAGAGCGCTTGCATTTGCAGTGTCCAGGTTTTTGACTGAAAGGCATTTCCAAAATGGTATGCCGGTGTTGCCAATGGACCTGCAAGAATTAATTAGCACGGACATCACTGATGAGTCAATTGTGCAGCCTGATTACCACCAGTGATGATTTGCATGCGCCGAGCGTGATCTTACGCAGCATCAGCAAAGTGACAAAAAGGTTAATGATCATTAATTGTGATTAACAATGATCATCAATCTGGGTAAAACAATGCCATAAACCACCCATGACTGGGAATGGGTTATTTATACCACCTATAAGCAGATGTTACTGACTACAACATGACTGCAAAAAACTGATAAAACAAATGTTATTAGTTTTAACAGACTAATTGGCCATCATTTGTATATTCGTAGACAGTTCATGCGTGATTTTTGTGTGCGAATAGACGATACCTCCAACCAACTTGGTCATTTTGTGGGAAACATGATTTTTGGGTATCGGGCATGACTCCGCGCCTAAAATTGGCTGGGTCTACTACATCATGATCAAGTATGTGATGAATTGCTTCGCCAATGTTGAATATTCTCTGAGTATTTTTGAGTCATAGCCACAACATTGTAACATCGCAACAGGTGTGAAACGAGGTATGATCCTACAATTAGATTCATTAGGTCATCACCATGAACCAACATCAATTTGCTAGTTGTTTATTGTTTGAGATCCAGAGCTTGGGTACATTTTATTCAAGAAGTGTACCCTCTGGTAATTTAACATAGCTATTGAAAATTACCATTTATAGTGGATTTTCCCATTGAAAATGGTGATTTTCCATAGTTATGTTAGTTTACCAGAGGGTACTGGGTTTCCTGTCCCTGTTGACATGGGTGAACTTTTTGGCCACCGGCAGGTGGATGCAGTCCCCTCTCCTCCAGCCCCTCCGGTGTCTGACTCGCGGTCGGCGCTGCTTCGACAGATTCAGGTGGCTTGGGAAGGGCCTGCGGAGGTATGGTCAATGGGAATTTCAGGATCCTAAAATGGAGGTACTGTACCATATGAGGCCATATTTTATGGGGATGTTAATGTTCCCTTACATAGGCCTTACATAGGCCTTATATACGGTAGGTACCTCCAATTTAGGATCCTGGAATGGCCATTGATATGGGCATGGGTCAACTGAAGTTGAGATTATCATCTCCAAAAATTGTCCACCAAAGATGGACGATTTTTTTCAATATTTGACTAGTGAAGATAGAAAAATATGGAATTTTCAGAAGAAGGTTTCGAGTCTCTCGTCAAAGATGATGGATATTTGATAAATCCACAGGTGAAGGGCATGGTGAATGGACGAGTGGCATTTTTCATTGGGGGACATGTCATAGCCGCCATAGCCAGCGGATGAAAAAGGTAAGGTTGGTCCGACGTGGAATTCCGGGAATTTCCCCGTTTAAAAATCGTTTTTACGGATCAAGAGCCTCTTTTATTTCCTCAAATATGCTCAAATCCAAATTTTTGTTGCCAATTTCCGCTCAAATCCATCCATTGTTGGTTAGCTCCCCAGTTTCAACTTACATCCCCATTTTTTTCTTGAACTCACTTTTTTCCATCATTGTTCAGCTTTCCCATCTCCAGATATTGGTGCTAGCTATGGCTATTTCAGGTATCTAAATATGGCTCAAAATATGCTACCTGGTACCTCCATTTTAGGATCCTGAAATTCCCATTCAACTGGAGGTTTCCTAGTTTTATGGCTACCCCACTGGTTTTTTCCCATTTCACCCATTTTCCTCGGATTTTGGGGTACCTCCATGACTTAGGAAACCCCCAACTCAGCCCAGGAAGGGACCAAGCTGAAGAAGACCAAGGCGGCCCCTTCTCCGCCCACGCCTGCGGCGCCGGCGCGGAGTCAGCTGCTGGATCAGATCCAGGTGTGGCGCAGATGGGGTCTCTTTTTGGCAATTGAAACGGAACAAATGGACTAACATATGGATAAATTATGATAAATTGGTGGTTTTATGGTGATTTTATGGTGGTTTAATGGTGATCAAATGGGATGTACCCTCTGGTTATGACTAACATAGCCATGGTATAGATGGCCCATTGAAATAGATGGTTTACCTATTAAACATGGTGATTTTCCATGGCTATGTTAAATAACCAGAGGGTAGATGGGAAAGCTAGACATGGCAGAATCCCGTAATTATCATAATCCCATGATTTACAGTGTTGAATGATGTTGATGTTACCAATAGGCATCCCAAGTTGTTTAGGATCTTCATCCACCTGACTGGGGGTTTCTGAAAATGGGGATTCCCCAAAAACCATAGTTGTTTCAATACTAAGTTTTGGTCTAATGTCTAATGACTTGGATGATTAAACATGGGTACCATGTTAGGAAACCTCCAAATAGAAAAATACATGGGGAAGCAAGACATATTTTCTGTGGTTGTCCCAGTTCTAGGGTGAACTCACAATTTTCCACCCATCTGTCGAAAGCTGCCGGCTGCCAGGGAGGCGTGCAGTTGAAGCCCGCCAAAGCTCGAGAGCTGCTCCTGGGCAGCGGAGGAAATCCGGAGAAGTTGGAGGTTTTTTCTGGTGGTTTTATGGCTGGGAAAAAACCCGTGACATTGGGAAACTCCCTGAAATTTGATCCAAGTCGTGGATTTTTAAACATATGTCGGTTTTGATATAGTAAGGATGGTGACTCTGATACAATGTGAGTCCCATTTAAAAGTGGCCTACGGGCATTCCTGACCACTTACTGAGTGCGATGACTGAAGAGGGCTTTAAAGAATTAAAAACACTCCAGTGCTGGTAACATAAGAGGGGGCTATAGTAGTTGAATTGTTTCAGACAGCCCATCTCCAGTTTGAGACGGTTTGTTGTGGTTTGCTTGCAGGGAACGGTAATTTTCATAGCCGATTCATAGCACATACGATGGTGGCACTCAATGTTGGAGTGCGTTGTGCAGCATTACATACGTATTCAGCACGGAAGATACCAAGAAAAAAAAGGGAAGCTGGCGACAGTCGCAACCGTGTTCATCACATCTCCAGTCACTTTACAATCAAAGATCATCAAAGATCATCAAAGATCATCAAAGATCATCAAAGATCAGTGTTGTTGGCTATTTGATTCCATTTGAGACAATTCTTTGCAGTGCACTATTTGTTGTTTTGGGTGGTTCAAGCACCGGTGGCGGGTTCACCCCAACTGGGTTGCGCTCACCGCACTCAAGGCCTCCAAAACCAGAGAGCCCGAGCACGCCACGGGAGGATTTAATGAGCCAGATCAAGGCGAAAAAACGCAACGGTACATGGTGTTTTCATGGTGGGAGATGCCAAAATACCCACAAAAAACTATATAATACTATATATATATATTTACCAGCAATAATTACTGGAGATATTCACACCCAAAGGTTGGATGGTAAACGTGCTCGAGCAGGTTGGATGGTTTGTTTCCTTGGGACTACCTCATTCTGGGAGTTTTGCAGATGCTTGCCATGGTATGCGACACTTTTGAGAGCATAGGACATGGGACATAGATATTGATGTAATGTATCACCATATTCATCAACTATACATTATCAATTCAATATATTATCAATACTGGTTGGTGGTTTGGAACATGAATTTTATGACTTCCCTGATATCTTGGGAATGTCAAATCATCCCAAGTGACGAAGTCATATTTTTCAGAGGGGTAGGTAGGTATACCACCAACCAGTTATTATTCATATCGATATCATCCCCTATTATTCATCCCATATTCATAAGAAAATATGGATGACCACCCATCAACTCTGCATATCTTGGACCAGGCCGGCATCCAGTTGAAGCCACCCAAGAAAAGAACGCCAAAGGCCGCAACCACCAGGCAGTTGTTGGGTGGGTCAGCCGCGGTGAGCCGCTGAGTTGAGTCGAACTGTGGCATTTCTGGGGATCGATTTCGAATTTCGACCGAAAAAGGTGATGTGAAACAGCCCAAACTGCCCCAAGACTGGTGATTTATGCAGCAAGAAGTGGGATGGATGCGGATCATGGAGGAATGTCAAGCGGTTTGGATACCAAATCATCACTTGTCAAAGAAAAAAAACATTTTTCTGGCGGTCTGCCTCCTAGGAATCAACCAGGCTTTATCAATGCTGGGTTGACATTGCACGGATTGGGCAAAAATCAACCCAGATGTTCTCTAAATCAAGAGGTGTGGATTTACTCTATCTATGAAGGAGAGGCAGCTGAAAAGGAAGGGAAAAACCAAAGTTTTAAAAGGAATTTTGATCTAGACCCATAGGCAGTTTCAGGCTAATTACATCCGTACATTCTGAAATCAAAGCATCAAAGCCAGATATTTGGCCCTGTGAACTGCCCCAGCAAGCTCCAAAGATGCTACATCTGCAGCAATCGGTGGTCACTTCACTTCACATTGCATGCATGTTCTTGGATTTGAAGATGATGATGTGGCTGATGTTTGAAAATGGGAAACCCACTAGGACTGGGGAATCTATACTGATATAACCTTTTTTCCTGGGTTCCTCAAATCCAAGATTTCGGGGGAAGCTTTTCCCTCCCATCTGTGGATGGCCATGGCTTTTTGGCTCGCCAGGCCGCCAACTCTTCTGGATACCCTGAAGAACAGCCCCAAGTTCCAAGCCATGTCGGAGCACATGAACTCCGAAGCTGAGACGCCCGAGGCAGGGAGGGCCTGGGCTGGGCGCTGAGTGGCTGGGGGCACCTCTGATGGCCCGCCAGGAAGATGATGGAGACTGGGACTAGACGACCTGAAGAGCTGAAGAGAGCTGAGGAAAAATGGAGCAGAGAACGGCCATCAGGTCGCCTTTCTTTTTTTTTTGTTTCAGGCTTTGAGGTGCGACTTCGTCTTGAAATGGCTTGAAATGGCTTGAAATGGGGAAGATTCAAACCAGAAAAGGGCAGAACTCTTGGTCGGAGATTTGCTTTGCAGCAGCTATCATTGGCAGAAGCCCCAAAAAACCACCAAGCAGGCTCAAACCGTTCAATCAACAGGGATAGATCAAGTTTGCCACAAGAAGGGTCAGAATCGAAGACTGGCCCACAGATTTCCGAAAAAGACATCATTTCGCAGACTTGAACATCACGACTTTTGGTAGTCAAATATAGTACCCCCCAAAACGACAGAAAAGCAAAATCCAACTTAGATAGTGACAAATTATACTTTTCTAAAAGACTGAAAGTATGGCATGGGGTTATGGTTTTTGGATTACCACATCAACTGTTTGGTAATCATAGGATAACTGGTCGGTAACCATACTTCTAGCCCATGTGAGTTTGCACCGAAATACGGCACTCTAAGATGCATTGGTTCACTAACCTATTCATCGTTCTCATGAGGAATGCCGCGTTTGCAGTATACTCAACTTCAAACTAATCGATCGATGTTTGTGTGCAGGAGATAAGACCACTTGCGGGACTTAGGATCACCTTTTAGTTATTCACCAGTTGCGTTTCTTGGGCTGATGCTGCTGATGCTCCAAGAACGGGCTGTCGTTTTTGCTTCACCACGGGTGAAAATCGGTTGCCAAAAATTGGTTGCCTCATAAAAAAACTGGTCAAAATGATTTTCACCATGTGATGTCAGAATTTTCACCATCATTGGAGGCCTTTCCTTGGGATCATTTTGAATGCAGAGCTCTGTTCAGATCCCCCTGAGATCCAGCCATTTGGCCACAGCGTCTGGGCCCGTCTGGGATGAAATGAGAAAATCTGAGACATTTCGAAAGTACCAGGTGACAACATGGAGAAAACCCACGGATTTTTTGGGTTTGCCCAAAATCGGTCATCAGGTTCGGGATTCAATGGGCCAGTCTGGGTCATCCTCCATTTTTGCGGCAAAGCCGATGGGGTAACCAGGCTTCGAAAGAGCTGAGGGGCTAGGCCCGGCTAGGCCTCCTGGGAGCCAAGTAGCAAGACCAGAGCCACCTTTCGATGCTGGTCTCCAAACATCAAAGGACAGGGGTCGCTTTTGTAATGACCACATCAGTCAATTTACTCTCCGGTAATCCTGGTAATTGGACATCCACCATAGATGATATTCCCACTAAAAACTTCATCAATAGGACATTTTCCATTGAAACCAGGGGGCAATTTGCAGCCTTTCAATTTGCAGCAGCCATGGGCGCGGCGTTCGCAGTGGCGCGGCTTCTTTGCGCCCTTGGCGTGGTTACAGCCCAGCGATGTCCTGACTGCAGGCGCGTAGCCGATGATTCAGGGAGGCATCCCCAAATGGAGAACAACTATTTTCAGGTTCGTGAATCGTGATGATTCAGCCAGTAGTGGTCAGTAATTTAATAAACGAATATAAATATATAAATGAATATAATTGAATATAAATGAATATAAATGACTGAATGTGAAGCCCCACATGAGCCTGAAAGGATCTGGATGAGGGTTTAGACATGTTTAGACCACTGCTCATTCGGTGTCCTCGGTCGCAGGGCCCCAATGCCGGCGTCCAGCGTGATGGAAAGACATCTGTGGAGGGAGGCGAGGGGGGTTTGGAAGAGGTTTGGACGTGCAACATTTTTTTTTTGCGTTTGTCGGATTTTGCTGGATTTGATGTGATTTTATAACATCTTTATGGGTTTTTAGAATAGTTTGTGGGAATTCTAAGGGATATAAGTTTATAAGCATCAACCAAATGGGATTTGATGGGGGTTGTATGTGATTTTATGAGGTGTATATAGCCCCTTGAAGTTACTATGGTGGAACCAATTGGGTCTGGACACGATTTTCCTCGATTTTCCTAAGACATCTTGGTTTTCAATGTCCTATGCTTTGTTTATCAATAAAGCCATGTCTGAGATTGAAGCTTTGGGTATAGCCAACAGTCCACCATTGAATGACCGTTCCATCAATGATCCTAAAATGGAGGTACGTAAACGTACCATGTTTGTTTGGCCATATTCTGTGGGGATATTCCCTTACATAGGCCTTACATATAGGCCTTATATATAGTAGGTACCTCCAATCAATCGGTTCCTGTTGCATGGCCATGGATTCCATACCGTTTCCAACAGATCATCGCCCAAGGTCCAGAACATCCTGGATCGAACCTACGCCGCTCGGCGGGATTGTGGGATGGGGCATCCCGGCAGTTTGGAGCCCTGGAGCGGCATGTTTTGGTGAAAACATGGAGAACGTCGTTAGAAAAAACACATTTCTATCCATTTTACAGGTGGTTTATATATGTTTATATCATTTTGGATCCAATTTCGAGGGTATGAAGTGACATCCACAATGACCTATGGAGAGGTTGTCTCTTTACACCCGTTGCGTCGTGTCTCAAGTTCTACGCTCCAGCCCTAAGGATTGGAGATACAGTGGCAGCTTGGATGATGCTGCAGTGATGGGCAGGGAGAGTTGCTGTGTTTTCTGTCTTTGGGTTTCTCTGAAAATAGGCTGCCAACACCTGGACATATTTCATATGGTTTCTATATGGTTTCTATCCTTTTTGGGTTACTATACCCCGAGAATCCCATGGGCCTATCGTCATTTTCCCCTGTTCAAACGGCCTTTCCGGCCTTGTGCGTTTTGGTTTCGTGGACCCGAACCTGGGCCGAGGCTATTGCATAGGTCTCGCCGAGGATCAGGTCGTGAAAGATGCCCAGGTGTGGAAAAACAGCACCAAAACAGGGGGTCAACTGGATGTGTCGAAAAATGGTTGTGTTGAAAAATGGTGGATTTACAACGAATTTCGAGCATTTTTAAATGAAAAACCATGGGAAAACGATGAACACCTGACTGAGAAGTGTGTTTGTAACCTAAAGTCATCACTATAAGATGCTACAAGCAAATGTGATTGAGACTCCCCAAAAGTCGTTGGAAAGATACGAAGTAAAGTATATCCTCCATAGCCAAGCTATGTGTGGCTCATCCCATTCAACTCATCAATCAGCATCAATCAGCATCAATCAGCCAGAAATCCAGCGAAATCCACCAATTTTCTGGCTTAGATGATCATTTTCCCAGATTTATCCCACCATTTTTTCTTATGATATTTTTTCAGCTATAACTCCAACTAAATCCCAATGTTTGGACAGCTCAAATGACAAGTTGTGCCATATTTTCCCGGGCATCACCTTTTCGGATCCCCATCATGGCCATCTCTTCCCAGGCCAAAGTCGCTGAAAACGAGACCATTCTGCAGGCGCACACCTATGGCGAGGTCACACCCAACGGGGTGCGGCAACTGGCAGAGGTGCTGGGGCTGGGGCTGGGGCTGGTTTAATGTTGGCAATAAGTAAAATCAATGAGGATATCAATGGGGTTATAACAATATGGGGTTATATCACTTCGATTCTGGCAATTTTGGTCAAATTCTGAGTGGAAACGACTCCTGTGACCCCGTAGTTGCCAGGGTTTATGGTAATTTGGGAGGGTAAGGGTTCATAAGTTGGGGTATCCAACCCCAAAACTTATCGTTTCTCTAAATTGAACCCGAAAAGATGGGGGTCTGAAGGTTGGAAGCGGATTTTTCGAACTGTCGGGTTCCATATTTGGGATGTCAACCTTTTCCGCAAAGTGGTGGGAAGTTTCTACCCAGGCATCTTAATAGTGTCGGGTGGCCGTCCAGCCATGTGCCAGTTCATGGGTTTGACCGTGGCATCGCCGGACGCCGTGAGTTTTTTGGACTTGGGAAGTGGAGTGGGCAAGCAGCTTGGCGGGTGGTCGAATGAGGGGTCTGATCGTGAACACATGCTGCATGATGTTCGAGCCACAAGAACTACGTGTTCTTTTCCACCTTGAAATGTATCTGTATGAGATGATATGAGATGTATTTGTATTGTATGAGATGATAAATACTTTGAACTCACATACTTGGGTTGATGGGGATGATGACGGCCCCAGGGGCGGTGTAGCTTTTTTTAAGCGGCCCCAGCCTGCCTTGGATGGGGAGCCCAACGTCGAGTAAGGATGGTTCTGCAGATGTACTTGGAGGTGCCCAGGCCTTGGCGGGCGTCAGTGAAAGGCGGAACGAACCCCCCAAAAAGTATCAAAAAGTGGGTTACTCTCTGGTAAACTAACATGACTATGGAAAATCATGGAAAATCATGGAACATCACTATTTTCAATAGGTAAATCAACGATCAATGATCAATGGCTATTTTCAATAGCTATGTTGGTTTACCAAAGGGTACTCAGATAGTACGACTCATCCAACCATACTGAAAATCATTAGGAGCCTAGAATTCATGATACGAACTCACAACCAATTGCGATGGACATCACAACCAATTGCCATGGACATCGGGAAGTAATCTGTCGGCAGTTAGTATGTTCCCATCTACATGTGGTGGGTTTTTCTGTACATCCAGAATTGACACATGATTTCCACAATTCCGTGGGTGTCCAGTTCTGGAAAAACATATACCCATACAACTATCATCAGCAACTACCAATTGGTGAAATTCCAGAAAAATCCCAATGATGATATTCGAGTTGCCAAGAGCAATCATCCAACATCACCCACTCCATCATCCATTGCCATTTTTCAACATACTTTTCTGATTGGGATCAACCCCAAAAAAAACCAGATCGAGTTGGTGTAATTGTAAGGCGATGATCCTGGGATTTGATCTTTTTTTCCGTGAGGAACAAAGTGATATGAAAAAAAAAACATACATGATATGATCGGATATACATGGATATACCGGAAAAAAAAACCGTTAGCCTGCAGTGAATTAACCCCGTTATATTGGTGATTAGTTGCTCATGAACATTTATGAACCATGAAATATCCCGTTAATCCCAGTTGGATCAAAGGTTTATACCCTCTGGTTATTTAACAGTTTGCTATGGAAGCCATGGCCCATAGAAATAGACTATTTATGATTATTTCCCGAACGTCGAAATGGGGATTTTCCATTTTGCAAACCGTTAAATTCTTATAAATCACCATTTCTAACTACATTTAGAAGATTGTTGCCAATGGTTACCAATGGCGATTTACCTATCATTTTCCAGAGCAAACCTACGTACTAATGTGGTTCAAACAATAACAAACCATTCCCAAAATCACCATAAATGGGTGGTTTAGACCATCAACAATGACGTGGTTTATGGCACTGTTTTACCCACAGATGGTTGTTTCAACCTACGAGTTGCGCAGGGTGACGCGATCTTTGGGCGTTGAGCTGCACCCGACACGAGCACAGCGGGGTCAGGCCGCTTGTTCGTGGAAATCCCGGAACGAAATGGAGGCTAAAAAAGCTGGGATCATCAACTATAGCCGATTTTTACATTGCCATGTTATATGTTTGATTACCATAGGCTGGGTCAGAAGCTATTTTTTTTTTTCTGGTGCGCATCTACAAATCCCAGCTATTTTGATGTGAAAACCAGGCGACCATGGTTTTGACCCATAGCCATATTGGAATATTTTGTTGGGATTTTGATGTTTGATATGTTTTATCATTACCCCTGTAACCAATATTAATCATTAATTACACACCATTGCTAATGGTAAATCGGACACCCCATGAAGAGATATGTGGGATGGTATTGGATCTCCTCATGTTGGGCCCGAAATAGAGGGGCATTTAATGTTAAGGAATTTACAACATAACCAACATGTTTAACCGTTTAACCAGTATGATGAACCATCGTTAGCAATTATGAACTAACCATTAAACCCAAAAAGGCCAGCAACTATTAAATCTATTAACAACCCTTACTAAAAACCATATAACATGAGAATTTTTTGGTCCTTTTTCATCCAATTAAAAAACATATACTCCCAGCTGTCCCAGCTGACTGGATACATTTTTTTGGCTCCAGGAGGCCCTGGCCATGTTGAAGCAGCTGGGTGACGTTCGGGATCTGCGGCGTCAGATGCTGCAGGGCGCTGTGCTGGCGCGACGGCCTCAGGCGGGATGGAGATTGATCCGTAGCGAAATGACGTGGGGAAATCATCGACAGAATGGCCTTGATGAGTTGGGAACTACTGGAAGTTGCCCAGAAAGAATCTGCGGATCTGACAATGGTTGGTGGTTGCTGTCAGATGTCGTGAAAAGGTAAAGACCAGCCAGAATGGAGGTTCGTTTCAAAGAGAGGGACCCACACAATTGCGGTTTCAAGGTGGACAATGATAATAAAGCACAAGGGGTCTGTCTTAAACTAATGGCAGGTTTAGGACGGACTGATGATGATGATGATGATGATGATGATGATGATGATGATGATACTGATGCTGATGATGATGTCGCTGATGATGATTATTATCATCATTATTAAGAATTAAGCATCAAATATTAGGTGTCCTATTTTGAGATAGACCCACATGTGTGACTTGAATTCTAGTGTCGCAGCAGTTCCAAAAGTAATGACAGTTGAATCCCAATTCTTCATAGATCACCCAGCAATTTGTTATGCTTCAATCTGTTTCACTGTAAAACCCACCAGTTTTCATCATTTTTCATGGTTAAACCACCATGTTTCATGGTTTAAACCATAGTAAACCGCCATTTTTTCGTGGTTTAAACCATAGTTTACCACAATTTTTTCATGGTTAAACCATAGAAAGCCACCATTTTTTCATGGCAAAATCCCATGGATCTCCTTGGTGCAGGCCCCCTTCGCTGCCAAGCTGCTTCGCAACAACCATCTGGGCTTCATCGACTTGCTGGAAGCCGATATGTTGCCTGGAAGCTGCTGGTGGAGCAGGGAAGGGAGCTTTAAGCATGACAAAAAGTGGGTGGTTGAACATGGAAAAAACCATGGAAACATGGTGGTTTAAACCCTGGTTTAATCTTGCAACATGGTGGTTGAAACATGACCAGTCCATCTCTCGTTTAGCTTCACAAGGTAGTTCAGCAAGATGTTTGTCTCAAGCCATCTCAGTCACCTGTTTGAGTAAGAACTTTAAGCCAATCGGTTACAATCACTCACCCACATCTTTTAAACACAATATCCTCCTGTTGGAACACCTCAATGGTATGCACCCATTTCATGTTGGCCATCCCATCCCAGAATTGCGGAAGAAACCTATAGGAAAAAACGTGAATTTTGCTGGGAAAATCATCAGTTTTTCACGCGTTTCGATGGACAAATACATCACCAAAAGCCTATCTTCATCCAAAACCCCTATCTTCATATTAGGACAGCAAGGCAAAACAACTCTAATCTCAGATTTTTCCCATATCATTCACCTCAACCAAGCTGTACAGTATCATCTCTCCTGTTCACCGTTACAAAGCAACGTTATAACTTTTCATCTGAGCCATTAAAAATGCCCTGGTGAATTTTTTTCTATAGGGGATTATACTACCTGGTTTACTGGGGATTATGATAACCCATTTGATCGGGAAACCTATCAACCAACTAGTGTTTCATGAGAGTTGATAGTCCCAAAAGTTGAGAGTGAAAAATACCAACTATATGATGCTATCCCTTTTTGGATAGCCATTAAAAATACCCCCAAACCATCTTTTTTGAGATGGGACAACACGGGAAAACGGGGTATTTTTGAATGGCTCATCTGAGGTTCGACTTGGATTTGTCGCAGTTCACCCACATCTTCCTGGCCTCCCTGACCTGGGGTACTGCGATGATCAATCGCTTGGCTGTGAAGCTGGTGACGGAGGCGGCAGAGCAGACATGTCGGAAAGTCGATTTAATATGATTTAATATGATTTAATATGATCTAATATGATTTAATATGATTTAATATGATTTAATATGATTTGATATGATTTAATATGTTTTGATATGATTTAATATGATTTAATATGATTTAATATGATTTAATATGATCTAATATGATTTAATATGATTTAATATGATTTAATATGATTTAATATGATTTGATATGATTTAATATGATCTAATATGATTTAATATGATTTAATATGATTTAATATGATTTAATATGATCTAATATGATCTAATATGATTTAATATGATTTAATATGATTTAATATGATTTGATATGATTTAATATGATTTAATATGATTTAATATGATTTAATATGATCTAATATGATTTAATATGATTTAATATGATTTAATATGATTTAATATGATTTCATATGATTTAATATGATTGAGTCTGATTTCATATGATTTAATATGATTTAATATGATTTAATATGATTTAATATGATTTAATATGATTTAATATGATTTAATTTGATTTAATATGATTTAATATGATTTAATATGATTGATTCTGATTTCATATGATTTAATATGATTTAATATGATTTAATATGATCTAATATGATTTAATATGATTTAATATGATTTAATATGATTTAATATGATTGATTCTGATTTGATATGATTTAATATGATTTAATATGATTTAATATGATTTAATATGATTTCATATGATTTAATATGATTTAATTTGATTTAATATGATTTAATATGATTTAATATGATTGATTCTGATTTCATATGATTTAATATGATTTAATGTGCTTTAATGTGATTTAATATGATTGATTCTGATTTAATATGCACAGGATTTAATAAAACATATGCATGGGTGATGATTGGTAGATGGATGTGGTTATTTTTCCTATCTTTAAAAACATCGTAACCCATTTGAGGAATCACAGATGGTCTGGTGATGTTCAGGACCGTAAACCAGCAGAATGTGGGAGTGGGAATTCCAGCATGTTCAGCCAGAAAAGCAACTACAAAGCGATGTCATCGACAAAGAGTTTGATTTCAACCAACTCTTAATTAAATGGTAGATATTTGATCAATTAATTGGTAGATATTTGTAGTAAACCATTAGATATCTAATGATTAATGACTTTCAATTAATTGGCACATTAGTCATTAGATCATTGATGTTGACTGTAATGATTCGAGCCCAGCCGAATCAGCTGAATCGTGGATTGATTGATGCAATGGCAAACCAGCTATCTATGATACCAACCAACCAACACCCTCTGGTAATATTTAACATAGCCATGGGCAGTTACCAATTTCTAGATGATGTCCATGCATATTACAAAAAAAATCATAGCCATTTCAAATGCCAAAGCGTTAGATGGTACCAGAGGGTATCCCATGAACAAACTTTCATCATGAATTTAACATATCCCACTCGTCGGTATGTATGTCCCGGTGTCCTCATGTCAGCATGGCTTGGCTGATGTCAGATTCCCGATTTTTCTGGTGGAAAAGTGGCATTTGAAGCCCATGTTATATCATCTGATAATTTTAAATGGAAGATCCACCATTTTCAATAGGCAAATCATCTATTTCTATGGGCCATCTAGCTAATAGCTATGTTAAATTCTTGGATAAGTCAGATGGTTTTTCATATGTTTTCCCATGTTTTCCCATGAAAATCGCCATTTTTCGTTCCGGGATGTCCCATTCCCCCGCGGCAAAATGGCGTTCCCAGGCATCGCGACTGCAGGTGGTCGCCGCCTTGGCGCGCTTCGAGGGGCTCCAAGGCTTTGAGGAAGAGGAACAGCATTTCCAGACGCAGCTTGGCGGAAGATGTTCTTGGCATAAAATTGGATAATTGTCACTATGACTATAGGATAGTAATGATAGTTTATGACTATAAAATTGGCATTATGACTATTAATTATGGTGGATACCCTCTGGTAAACTAACATAACTATGGAAAATGGCCATAGAAATAGTGGGTTTTCCCATTAAAAATGGTGATTTTCCATAGTTATGTAAACGTTTACCAGAGGGTAAATGGAGAATTTCATTAGTCATAATGATCATAATGATTATATGAAGATGATATAGCCATGTTCTTGCTATTATAAAAATTGGATAAGTTAAGAGTCATAATGATCATGTTTATATAGATGATATAAATGGAGAATAGTCTACTAATGATGATACTAGTAGTTGTATGATGCTACTATTGGAATTCCTGATGTGAGATGATATTCACAATGATGATTATAACATATTATTTTCATGGAATATTTTCTGAAAATAGTAGTAATGATAAGGCCAATAGTAGAATTCACACAATTTTTGACCATATCTTTAGTCTTAGGAACCGTGGCCCAACAAATGACCCCACCAGGAAAGCAACGGGAAGAGGATGTCACGGGAGTCAGCGATTTTCTTTCTCTATCTGTCAGAAAAGGTCCTGAAAGCCAGAGGTTTTGACCCAAACTCAGCTGGTCGTTCAAGCTCCAGCTTGATTCCAATTGGTGGATTCTCACCTGGTAATCTAATTTTTGTTGGCAAGGCTCTGATTTTGACCAATCAAAGGTACAGAATAGGTGAAGTTGTTGTTTTTTATTGGAAGTTGCTTTTTGACCAAAATCATGGCGAGATTTTCCCAGGAAGTCCACATTCCCAGGTGATTTTGGTGTCCCACATCGGGGGTATCCTAGGGCCATCCGGGGGCCATTGGGGGGATGAGGTCATGGACAACAAAGAGTCCTACCGGGTCCAGATTGCTCCTCGGATGAAGGGAACCTGGTACAGTGACAGATGGGTTTCGGGGTCAAGAGTAGTAACAGCCCTAGTTTTATTGTGTAATATTGTCGTTCACCCAACATAAACATCCCGCCGGAAGCGTTACCGGCGCGAGAAAATGATCAAAATTACGACGCCCTCACAGCGAGGAGCCAGATTTGAGCATTCGAAACCTTTAAGAAAAAGCTCCGTCTACTTTTGGAATGACAACCCTTCCATCACTTCAGCCTCAAAAAGGGCAACCGCAACTTTTTCTCACATTTTCTTCAACACGTCAGCGGTGGCTTCCATCAGGTTTTCCCTGTGCACCCCCACCGCCACTGGAAAGAGCGCATGCATTTCCATATTTGAGGATTGCGCGCCTGGCCCTTTTTCGATGGCAAACTTCCAGGGATGGTTTGCTTGAGGACCTTCCAGAAGCCATCTACGTGACCCGTGTGGATCTTGACTTCCCCCCTGTTCTTCAGGGTTTTTCTTACAATGTACACATCTACTGCTATTGACATAAGTTCATGTGTGAAACCGCAGTGATACAAAATATAACATTAACAGAAACGTCATGTAGCGTAGCATCTTCATGTTGCGTAGCATCGTCATGCTGCGTAGCATGTTCATGTGGCGTAGCATCTTCATGTCGCGTAGCACTGCGTACCTTGTCCCCTGCGGTTGCTGCGTAGAGATGTGAGTTGTGTAGCATCAACAGAAACGTAGCATCAACATCAAGATCATGAAAAAAATACGTAGAAATTCAAGTAGCGTAGTGTTAAGTGCAAGTGAAGATCATGAAAGTGCAAATGAAGATCATAGAGCGTAGCATCAAGTTCATGTAGAAATGCAAATGACGGTCATAGAGCGTAGCATCACGTTCATGTGGAAATGCAAATGAAGATCATGGAGCGTAGCGTCCAGTTCATGTGGAAATGCAACTGACGTTATTACCCCACCCCAGCCCACCCCACCCCACCCCAGACTACCGGATGTGGATTTGTGAGACGGTAACGGGTCCGTTAGCATAAACATGTAGTTCTGGTATCCAGTGACAGAATTCGGTGATGAATTTTGGGTCCTTTATCCAAAGTGTGACGATCCTGGTGTTGGCATAAGGGAGAACCCAAGGTTTGTCTACACGCGATCTGGCTGACCAGCTAGGGCCACTGGGCTGCAGAGTCTGGGGCATGGCTTGAAATTCACGGGTTGAATCCATTCGAATATGTGGTCTCTTTGAGCCAGACCCAACCCATCAAAGAATCCGAAAAAATCTCTAGGTTGTGGGTCAACTTCACCGCTGGGAGTTGGATTTCGGAAGTGCAAAAATGGTGGGGAGGCGGCCCATGAGCCAAAGATTATGCTGACCTATCGTGCCCTACCACTGGGCCCTACCATCATTTGTTGAGGGTTTCGAGCATATATTAAAGTGTCATTTTTTTGGAGTTTCGTTCGAACATCTTCGAATGATGCTTAGTCGGCTTCTGATTTTGACAGGATCGGTTGAAACCATCAACCAAGAAATGATATGATATGCTACGATGATATGCTATGATATGATATGATACGAGTATATTAGATATAATTTGATTTATATAATTATATTATGATATATATATATATATAATATAATGATTGTGATATGTTTCTAAAAAATATGATATGATTTGATTGGGTAGCAATGTTGCCGCAAAGATTCACTGTGTTGAGGGGGATGGAACTCATCGATGTGCATTGGCCAAGGCAGTTCGCCGTTGTTGAAAAAGAGCGGTCGAGAAAACGCCCAATGGACTGCAATTTCGATCCGCAAATTCCATGATTTTCCTCCATGTTCAATCATTTTCAATCATTTTTCATGGCGTTTTGGGGGGAGAAAAGTCGGTCCCAAGGTGCCATGAAAATGGCATGTCCCGTTGTTCTTTCGGCACAGGAAAGCCTCGTTGTGTTTGGCTCCAGCAGAAACCAATATGAAGCAAGCTACAAAAGCAACCAAAGGTTTCAGATGGCGAAGCTTGGTTCCCCAAAAATATATGAGCACAGCTTTTTGTAAATTGGGGAACCAACCTATGCAATTACTTTCTCTGTCCAAAATCTTGTTTCCCATGCTCCAAAGACACCGAGCATCAAGCATTCTATGGCCTCATCTAGGCCTATTTGAGAGGTGCGACCCACGAACTCCCAGTCGAAATTGCTGAATTTGCGGCCACAAATGCCGACGCATCTTTTAAAGTGTATGGAACAGCATTCAACAACTTTTACCCTCTGGTTCTTTAACATAGCTATGGAAACTAGGCCATAGAAATAGCTGATTTCAAGATTTCGAGAAATAGACAACAGAAAAACACACACACACACATATATATATATATATATATATATATATAATGATGATTTTCCATGATTTTCCAGCTCCTAAATCGTGACATATCCAGATGGTAGCTCGATGCCCCGTGCTCCAGGTGCCACGTTTTTGTGGCCCCGGCGTTACCCAGGAAACATGGACCCCCCGCGTGGGCGGATGCTTCTGCGTGGGAAAGGGGGGGTTGAGTCTGGATAACTATGTGGTTACTATATGGTTGATAAGCTGATAAATGTTCAATATATTTATAACATCAAAAAAAATATTATATAGGCAAAATGCGTTGAGGTTACCATGGCGATGCAAAGTGAAGTATTCTCATTGGAGCGAGCTGGTTGCCGACACTTTTCCTGGAAGGGTACTTGGATTGTCGGGATAATTCCACTTACATAGCAAGTAAAGTTGTATAGTTGATAACCCCGGCTAAAAAGCAGAGCGACTCCATTTGTGACTAGGTGATGATGGTGAGGAAGACTTTAAAACTGGGATGATCATGCAAGAGGCTTGACAGAGCTGGCTAATACCCACCGGCAGCCAGGCATCGCACAAATTTATCCAAACCTTCAACACCCAGTTGTGCTGTTTTTTTATTCTCCCTTGAAGCTACCACTGCGATGAGGATTCATCAATCATCATGAGATGAACAAAACTGGGTCAGCCAGGTGTCAATTGATTTCATGCCTTCGTGGTCATTCTATAGTTGATCTGGAAATAGTTCGTCATTGGAATCTCGAGAAGGGCCGCCGGCGGCTTCAGTGCCACCCTCCCGCGGCTTAAGTGCCACCCTCCCGCGGCTTCAGTGCCACCCTCCCGCGGCTTGAGTGCCACCCTCCCGCGGCTCCCTTGAGTGCCACCCTCCCGGCTTCAGTGCCACCGGCTTGAGTGCCACCCTCCCGCGGCTTGAGTGCCACCCTGCTTCCACGGCGCCAGCTTGCCACCCCCCGCGGCTTCAGTGCCACCCTCCCCGGCTTCAGTGGCCACCCTTGAGTGCCACCCTCCCGCCACCCTGGCTTCAGTGCCACCCTCCCGCGGCTTCAGTGCCACCCTCCCGCGGCTTCAGTGCCACCCACCCTCCCGCGGCTTAAGTGCCACCCACCCTCCTGCGGCTTGAGTGCCACCCTCCCGCGGCTTAAGTGCCACCCTCGTGGCTTCAGTGCCACCCTCCCGCGGCTTAAGTGCCACCCTCCCGCGGCTTGAGTGCCACCCTCCCGCGGCTTGAGTGCCACCCTCCCGCGGCTTCAGATTCAGTGCCACTCCCGCGGCTTCAGTGCCACCCTCCCGCGGCTTCAGTGCCACTCTCCCGCGGCTTCAGTGCCACCTTCCCGCGGCTTAAGTACCCTCCCGTGGCTTGAGTGCCACCCTCCCGCGGCTTGAGTGCCACCCTCCCGCGGCTTAAGTGCCACCCTCCCGCGGCTTAAGTGCCACCCTCCCGCGGCTTAACCACCCTCCTGCGGCCGGCGGCTTCTCCACACAGTCAGAGCAATGCGGCGTTGTAGAACAAGAAGGTAGAAGTAGCAGAAGAAGCAGAAGAAGAAGAAGAAGAATAAGAAGAAATAGTAGTAGAAGACTGTAGAAGGAGAAGTAGTAGTCGTCCTCGTCCTCGTCCTCGTCCTCGTCCTCGTCCTCGTCCTCGTCGTAGCCGCCACACTCCGAATCTCAGGGTTTGAAATCAGACACTTGTTGGCTCCCCTTGAGGTTAAAAGGGAGCGAGATGTTCGTTCAAGGAGCAACAATTTGGATCCAACATTTCTAGGAGTACCCTCTCACTTGACCCATAGCTAGCTGGACTCCACACAGGCAGAGTGCCACTGCGCGCCGTTGCCACTGATCTGGCTCAGCTTTTATTGATTTATTAGAAGCCGAACCCTTCAGGACCATGAGTTCATGTCAGCTTTGGCACGACTCGGCAAAGCCCACACCCCCCCAGCCCCCCTACCGAGCCAATCTCGTTGCACTGATTCTTCCTGACCTGAGGATTTTGACCTTTCCAAGCCATGTTCAGACCCATCAGAAACTTTTCAACAAGCGCACCGTCAACAGAAACTGCGCCTCCCGGGCGCCTCCGAAAAGGGCGCGACCCACGACCCACCTCGACGCCATGACGACCTGCGCGGATTTGAATGCTCCGTACAGTCGCGCCGAGCTGAAACGCGTGCCCTGGAAATCGCCTCACCAGGATGGTAACATAGTGATGGCTTAGTGACCATGGATATCAATGGATTCATGGCTGATAATGTGGTTGATAGATGTTTGATAAACGTTTTTGAAGTGGTTTGACAATGGTTGATACAAACGGGCGATTGGTTGATGATCCAAAGTTCGTGGGGCCCTGGGGGTTTGCTTGTTTCATCATCCACGGTATCCATACGGTGTACATGTGCCTAGATTTACCTACCACCAAAATCACCCAACATGTATATCTCTCTATATATACATATATTATACCGACATATACTAGATACAGTCAGTACAACATTATATATCATGATGGTATAAGTCATACAGCCTTCCCTCAATCAAACGTGGCATTGGGAAATCCTCATATATGTCACGAACAAACACCATCAGTAAAGATATCCCATAGATATTGATTACATCATAAATATGATGTTTATGGGACATCAGCAAATATATGGAGGTTTCCAGAAATGGTACCCAAATCATCCATTTATTCAGCAATTTCCCCTAAGTCACCAATTTTGATAGCTGGTTGGTGGTTTGGAACATGATTTTTATTTTTCCATTAATCATTAACCACTAGAAAAATCACCATAGAATCACCAGGAGTCACCAATTTTCATAGGATTTCCCATGAAATTTTCCATCGGTTGTGGGGATACCCAGATTTCGTTGAGGTGAAGGCGGTGAAATTCACCATGTTCGACGCCGACACCTTACAAGGGTCAGGGGCTCAGCTCAGCGGTACGGACGGTACGGGCGACCCGAACAACATGCGGATGGTAAAAAAAGGGACAACGTAGATGGCTATGTTAGGATGAAAATTGTAGCTTTATATGGTTTTATGCCATCCAAATGCTGATGCAAATCGAATTGAGGCGCTCTCTCAAGGATATGGGCTCGTACCATCCATCAATGGGGTTTGTATGGGCTAGTTATGCATCCATAACGGGAGAATCCAAGTGAACAGGGTTCCGAGAACCCATCATCTTTGGAGATTTCTGGGCCCACATCTAAAATCGCATCAATTGGTGACCACTTCCGCCCCAAACATGGGTTTTTTCTCAGGATTTTGCGAAAAATCTTAGCAACTAACTTGGTATCTCTGGTGAACACGGCCAAGCTCCATCCTGAGGTACTCGGTCGCGGAGATCAACAAGCAGGAGATCTACAAAGATGGCGTTCCCGTGGCCTGGTACGGGGCGAATGAAGATGAAGCCGTGCCATTTTGGGGTACCAATTTGGACCAATACCCACCTTTATTTTTTTTCAAATGGCAATATATTTGGCAATTGGTTAGTCATTTGTTGTTGGTTTGGATACTTGGTGTTAGATGTGCCGTCATTGGACTTTGTCCGCCGGCAATGAAAAACATCCATAACATCCTCCAGTTAGTTCGATGATTTTTTTCCCATCCATTGATATACCCTCTGATAATTAAACATAGCTATTGAAAATACCCCATTTATACTTAAGTTACCTATTCGAAATGGTGATTTTCTATAGCTATGTTAGTTTGCCAGAGGGTAATTTAGTTTGAACTAAGAATGAACACTACTAATGTTGAGTCTCGATTTAGTGGGTTTCCATTCCCCATCCCCATTTGAGGATTTTCCCAGCTACTAGAAATGGGATTTGCTATGGCCTTTCCAATGGCCATCCAGGTGGAGGGTGGTGTGAACGATCCCCGTCTGGGTCCCATCGATGTGCGTAGCAAGTGTCGCACCTGCGACGAAGGCGGTGCGAGCTTTTCGGGTCGCTTAAAAATGGTGCAAGTCCTCTAAAAGTCCAATGGATTATCATGGTTTATTGATGTTTATTGGATTTTATATTGGTTTATTTATAACTATTTATTGGTTTATCTATCTTAATGTTCAAAATTCTAACATCGCCGTTTTATGTGTTTTCTTTGTCTGATTCAGATCACATGTTTGAGGGGTTTGAGCACAGAACTAGCATGGGATTGAGGCTTTGTGGGTGATTGTAGGTGTGGTAGTCATGGAATTTTCGCATCACCTTACTTCTCATGGTCACATGGCTCGCATGACCAATCTCAAGAGCTATGGTTCCTTCACAAGCAATCCGGCTTAAACTGCTTGAACAAGACATGAGGATTCTTACTACAGTACACTTGGAATGAACCCAACCCACCCTTAGTTTTGAACCTATTCCGGTAGATGGAATCCGAATTGCACAGAGACTTGACAGCAATTTCGATGATCCTCTTGACTGGGGGATGATACAATTCGATGTCTCCATGGGTCAGTATGGGTATGGTTTTTCTTAGTAGACATCCAGAGACTGTTTTGGAACATGTTAATATACATGACTTTAGAATATTTTAGACTTTGACCGTTCTCAAGAATTGTCCCTCCAAACAAAACCTCGACTGTTTCCGGCATAGTTATACCCTCTGGTAATCACACACAGCCATGGACAATTCCCATTTTACAGATGTCTTTTCCATTCTTTTCCCAGAGTTTTTCCAGTGCTGCATATTTTTTCAATATTTTCCCACGATGTTGGCAAACATAGTTCATCATATTATATGTTCAACTGCATCTTCAACTATGTTCAAGTAGTTTCACCACATATCATATGTTGAACTTGTTGAACTATAATTCACCATTGAATGTTGAACTATATGCTATTATTAGATGTTGAACTATGTGAATAAAAACCCACATTTTCCCCACATCAACTCCCCATCTTCCGGGAGTTTCACCGCCGCAGTTCTCAAGAGCTGCTGTGGACACTGGGGACACTTGACGCTGGCAAAGCCCATGTGGGGACACCCGAAAACGCCACATTTGGCCATCGGTTCATTGTGTGGCCGTATGTGGCCGTAATGGCTGTCTTGATATTACCATATTATGGGGTATATGGTAACAATATGGCATAATATGGGAATGATATGATAATATGGCATAGTATGGGATTATTAATAGTTATGATTTATCTTTCTATTCCCATCTGACCCTGTGAAAATGGTGATTCAATGGAGATTTAACCACTATATATAAATGGTGATTTAGTGGAGATTTACCTTCTGGTAAAGGTTAACATAACTATGGAAAATCACCAATTTTAATTGGTAAGTCAACTATTTCTATGGGCCATGGCTTCAATAGCAAACTGTTAGTCATTACCAGAGGGTAATAGATAGCTAAAATCGGTGGTAATATGACGATGTATTATGGTTAATAGTAAAATTTTGGATTATGATTCATATTTTGGTTTTCATGGTTATCAAATGTTATCAAGCATTTTATATTACCAATAGAGTTGATAATGGTTGATGATGGTTTTCATGCTAGTTCTTGGTGCTTTCTTTTAAGCATCGATCCATAGGGGGACTGGGAAAAATCACCAAACAAATCGCCAGCTATGTATAGGGCGCCAGGCTACTCATAGCCATATAAGCCATATATCTACAGCTGATTTCCAGGTCAACTCCCTGAATTTTCTGAGATTCCTCGAGTCGGTGTCAGGATTTGATTACACACATGGCCCCATTTGGAAGTTGTCTGTTGGTGATGTTTGCTGCCATGCTATCTTTCAATTCGTCAGCTGGTGGGACTACAGAGGTTTTTTGGACGGAATCCTGCACCAGTTGGTGGTTTCTCCCCATGATAATCTCGTTACCACTTGTTTCATATTGACATGTATTACATGAGAATAGTTACCATTTGTTCCCTATCATATATAGATGGTATACTGGTTGGTGGTTTGGAACATGAATTTTATGACTTTCCATGGGAATAATAGTCCCAACTGACTTTCATATTTTTCAGAGTGGTAGGTATACCACCAACCAGGTACTCAATGATTTACATATATGGTGATATTAGATATCATTGATATATCATACTTGTATGATTAACCACTATTAATCACCATAGAATCACCATGATTTACATGTATTGACAGTGTTTCATAGTTACCAACTTGTTTCAGATGATCCGGACGTCCCGGGACACCTTAAAATTAACGGGCTGTCATGCGGTTTGGCGCCACCTGATGTTCCACGGCACCCTTTTTTCCAATGAGACGTGGAAAAAGACCCAAATTGGGGAGGGTTTCCTGTAGGATTTCCCTTACGGCAACTTCTCCCACAACAATAGTGCTAAACTCTGAAAGTACAACTCTACTACAACTTTGCAAAGTATCAGAATTACCAACTATAAACATCTAAAAGACCGAAACAGAATTCCATTGAAATCGATCCATTTTTCCGGGACTCTAAAAATCAACCCAGATGACGATGCTGAATCCTGCCATGGCATCGCTATCGACTTTCCTTGGCCGCCCCAACAGCCGCGCTTTCGAAGCGCGGCCGCTGATTGGCAGAGCGCCGGCGCCGTGGATCCTGCGGGCGCGGAGGGACGAGGCGGGGTCTTCATGGTGAGGGTTCAACACAGTAAGATATTTAGGATAGTTTTTCTAGTGATATGTCATGATGTTTAGTTATAGCATTTAATGATTTTACATTATATTTATATATAGGTCCTGCTAATTGATTTTTTGGTCCTGTTAGTTTCATGATCGACATGTTGAGCTTTGAACATGGGATATATTTTGATATGGCAGTCGTCAGAGGTGGACGTTGCACATACCCACGCAGAGCGCCATCACGGTCAGGTAACAGAAGCATGCATTGTCATAGTCCATAGTGTTGTCTTCCAAACTGGTCGTCCAAAGTATGCGTGAAAGATGTAGGCCATATCATCGAAATGGCAGGCAAGCAGTGCCATAATAAGGACCGTTGAATGCCATTGGATCGCGCCGTCAAGCGTTTGAACTGCCAAAGTGGAGATCCGTCAGCTGTCACAGCCATTTTCTCAAGCACATCTGCAGTCGCAAGCATCCTGTTATTGCGCCACTTCATTCTGAAGAAAGGCACGATCCAATTTTCGACAAAAGGTCACCGTGAAATCCGTTCCCAAGCATCTGTCACAACATACCAGGCAGGACTTGGCCCTATTTGGAGGTTTCCTAAGTCATGTGTTGTACCCCCAGTTATCATCCACTTTGTTTTGGGACTTTGAAATAAACATATAAACCATCCAGCTGAATCCAGCTTATTGGGGATCTCCATTTTCCATGAAATAAACAATCGAATTCTGATCGCCAGGCCCCGTCCCTCCTGTGCCGTGCAGCAGCGGCAGCGGCCACCGTCGCAGCCGTGGCGACGGCCAAGACGTCGAGGACGTCGAAGCTGGGGTGGAAGAAGAAGAAGGCGCCAGCGGTGAAAAACTGGTGGGAGTAGCCATTTTTTGTTCAAGGGGACATGGTAATATGATGGGAATATGATGGGAATATGATGAGACTATGATTGTTGGAAAATCTAAGTGAAGAATCTGGATAAATTAGAGTGACTTGGCGTTGTGGCGTCACTGGAATGATGGTGAATGTACAGGGGAATCATCCCCAAATGGCATTATTTCTTTGATTTTCAGGTTGGTGAATTATTAGAATTCAGCCAGACTCATTACCGTATAGGAAGAAAAACAAAAGCAATAACAACCATCAACAATATGGAATAAACCGTCAATAAGCATCCCTGTTTTTGGATACAGCCAATAACGTGGGGGGTATGTAAAATATGTAAATAATAATAAATAAATATATATATATATAGTATTTGTTTTTTTCTTAAACTATTCGTATCGAAGACTAGCCATGATTTTGTGTAGACATCCCTGGTTTGTCTCTGCTATGTTGCTGTGAGAAAATAGTTTACCACAATCTCCGGGATCGATATCATGTCTATTTATATATACAAATTGTATTATATTATATCATATCATATTATATTACATTACATTATATTATATTATAGATTTTTTATTTTATGCTATTTAATGTAACACGATACAATATGATATGATAAAATATGATGTAATATAATATAATATAATATAATATATTATAACATAATATAATATAATAATTTATAAATAACTATATATATATATATTATGTTATATTACATTATATTATATTCTGTTATGTTATATTAAATTACATTGTATATTATACTATATTGTATTATATTATATTATATTATATATTATATTAAATTATATATTACATATTAAATTATGTATTATTGTATATATTATTTTAAATATTACATATACAGTACATAATACTATATATATAATATTATATACATAAAATTATACATATAATATTATATATAAGATTATATATTATATATTAGATATTTTATATTTTATATTTTTAATTATATATTTTATATTATAAATTATATTTTATTACATATTACATATTATATATATATTATATTATAAAGCATATATTATATATTATATATTATATATTATATATTATATATCACATATATTATATTATATATTATTATTTTTTATTACATATGATATATTATATATTATATATTATGTATTATATTATTTATTATATTATATATTATATATTATATGATTTTAAATATTATAGTTTTTTTTTTTTAAATTATATTATATATTATATTATATTATATTATATATATTTTTTTAATATATATTATGTATTATTTTGCGATTTATATTTTATTATATTATATATTATAGTATATATCATATTATATATTAAATTATAAATTATATTATATATTATATTAATATATATTATATTATATTATATTTTATTATATATTATATTTTATATCATATCATATCATATTATATTATATTATACTATATTACATAATATTACATTATATGACATTATATAATATTATATTATATAATATTATACAATATAATATTATATTATATTATACTGTATTGTATTATATTATATTGTATTATATTATATTATATTATTTAATATTATATAATATTATATTATATTTTATTTTATTATATTATATGATATGATATGATATTATATTATACTATGCTATATTATATTACACACATATATATATATATATGTAGTGTATATAGATAGATGCATTCATGTTAGTGTGAATGTTACACTGATGATCCTCTGGATGTTCCTGGCTGTGACTGATGGGATTTTGCCAGCTACCAGGGTGGTTTCCTCAAATTGGGCTACCCCACTAGCTGGATGGTTTATTTCATGGAAAACCCTATTTATAAGTGGATGATTTGGGGTATCTCCATTTTAGGAAGCCTCCATATATATATATTTATATGTATATATATATGTACACACATGCACCGCATTGGTTTTAAAACATCGAAGGAACTACGCAGCATACATACCTGGTCAATCATTGGCTTGCATTTTTTTAAGATTTTCAGATCTGGTTTGTGATGAGTCAAAACCCTGGACCGTTGGTTTTTACATCAAAATAGGATCGACCCATCCCCATAGCAGATGAACTACATTGGGATCCAGACATATCTTTATATAATTAACATATCTCAGATCTCTAAATATTTCAACAAGGGCTGGACAGCCTTTAATAAACATCCTAGATTCAGTGAAACCCCGAGGCCCTTCGAATATTTATGAATATTGTACCAGCATTTCCGCAGCATCACCCAGTCATGTAGCTCCAGGCCGACCCTTGGGAGCGTAAGAAACAGTTCGACAAGGTGGATGTTGGATGGTGAAACGTTGAGAAAACTCAGATTTCTGGGAAATACCCTCTGGTAAACATACAACAAACTATGGAAAATCACCATTTTCAATGGGTAAATCCACTATAAATGGTCATTTTCAATAGCTATATTAGTTTACCAGAGGGTATGTTCAAAGGAGGATTCGAGATTTCAACATATTTGCTTGGATATTTTTTTAGAAGTGAAGATCCAATCTGATAAATAGATATAGGAGGTGAAACTTGGGGCTTTCAACCAGGAAAAAAAACCAACATCCTGGAGTTTTTTGGCCCTGATCATTGACAAAAAAGGTTTTGTCGAACAATAGGGGATACCCGCAATAGCCATTTTACCCTCTGGTAAATTAATTTGTTGACCCTGAAAATCACCAATTTTTAGAGGAAACTAATCTTCCAACCCCTATCTACCAGGGTCTATGTTAATTTACTGGAGGGTAATATGGATGACAATCCATTGGAATTGGGGGTATCCTATTTTTCAGACGAAACCATATTTTGGAGGATTTGAAACACTTTCTTCAAGTGGAGGGAGCGCACATCTATTCTTAGCCATGGGTAGCCAGTTGGAGCCCCTAGGAGATTCCCAACCACGTGAGATTTATCCTCCTTGGATCTCTGAAACGTTGAAAGTCACCAGATCTGCTTGCTAAAAGTTGGGGCAACTCGGCAAAACTGGGCGAGTTTTCGCAGGAGAATGCCCAGTGGCCCACCAAAGAGAGTCTTCTGGACTTCTTGAATTCAAAGAAGGCTGTGGGTGCCAGTGGAGTGTTGGGTGTTTGGTGCTGAGGCGATTTCGACTTTGGAAGAAAGGGGCCTGGAATCAGAAAACTGCGAAGTGGTAATCAGTGAAGCAGGGAGGCAATTTTTTTTCCCACATTTACATGCTGAAGAGCATGGCAAAACAATTGGAAGCCGCATTTTGGAACATATATAACATAGAAATATTTCTAGAAATATTGATCAATATGGTCAAGGAGGTTTAAACCTCCAATAACTAATAATGTGGGTAAAAGAATGTCATTTGCACCACCCCAAAAGAATGTCATTTGCACCATTTCTACATGGTGATGACTTGGGGCCCATCTTTGTCGGCCCGTCGCTTGTGCATGGCTATAAATCAGCCCATAGATGGATCTCTCTCTCTCTATAATATCCATGATTGTTACATCGCCAAGACTATTTATAGTTGATTTATACTATAAATAGCTATAAATAATTATGAATAGCTGATTTATTCTATGAATTTAAGTCGTAAATCCCAGGATTTTCACATGTGACTTTCCATCACTAGGCGGCCGCCCATCCGGGGCAGTGGGCCCGCGCGGTGCGGCACTGCGGACGTCGGGGCTGGTGGGAGGCAACTCACCTGCCGCAACGTTGTCGCGGGAAAATCATTGAACTATAACTCTCTGGGTAAATTATAACGACCTCACTGCGACCGAAGCCTGGAATGATGGTTAGTAGGGGAAACAATAGGGAAATTGTCCTCAAATGGCCTTATTTCAGGTTAGTGAAATGTTATAATTTACCCAGAACTGTGGGATTGAGGAAGATCCCATATGGGGGTTTCCATAAATGGGGGTACCCAATAGCTGGATGGTTTACTGTATTTCATGCAAAATCCCAATCTAAGATGGATGATAACTACAGTTATGGCCCTCTACCAGTTATAAGTACTTATAACCCCGTTTATAGAATGTATAATCCCATTTATAACCAGTTATAACTAATAAATGGCCTTAACTGTAGGGGTACCCCTATTTTAGGAAACCTCCATATGGTCATGGTCACTTTTCAATGGGAAAATGTTCCGGATTTTCACATGATGGATTAGCGGTATGAGGGGGACATGGGGAAAGCCTCTAGAAATGGGGATTTGTAAAGGGATATAACATATATAACATGACTGGTTGGTGGTTTGGAACACAAATTTTATTTTTCCATAAATTGGGAATAATAGTCCCAACTGACTATATATATAATATTTTTCAAGATGGTTCAAACCACCAACCAGATGATATAACCATATGATGTGCCTCGCGTCGGAAGTTGGATTCCGTTCACTTACAAGACTTGGATTCCGTTGGGGGTGGTTGCAGGGATCCGTCGACCGGGCCTCCCTAACTGCTACCTGCTACCGTGGACTTCGTCGCTAAAAAAAAAGTCCAACTTGTCAGGCATTGCACTGAATGAGCCTATAAAAACAGCAGTGATTTGACACCTATGATTGTTTTTGAAAGGATACCGGAGCCTACAGCAGCACAGAGGCATAACAGGTATGCCTCTTTCATGAAGGCGAAAAGAAAGGAGAAGAAAGCAGTTGGAATGGATGATGATAATTAGGTGCGTGCATGACCTTAATTAGGAGGTCTATTCTTTTCTCATACCCGCCACCAGCGCATGGGGTGAGAGAACGTGCTGCGAACCAGACACATGCCTCGCGTCGGAAGTTTGATTATATACGACCCAGAGGGATAGTCATCAACCCATGATTAGCGGTTCATATGCCCTAGGGTAATACATCGTAAACTAAAATGGGACGAACATTAGAACGATAATATATCACCAGCAATTCAAGCAGGATGTAAACGGTTGGTGACAAATCGTTCTCTGGGATACGCTTTTATTATATTTAATGGTGTGCGAACTGGAACATCACCAACATCACCATGTTTCATGGGTAAATGATCTATAAATCATCTATTTCTATAGGCAATTTCGCACCATGTTCGTCATAACCAGAGGGTATCTCATGCCCGAGTTCTCCACCATCATCCCATAGGAGAAACCGCGGGGCCAGGTGTTGCATGAAGCTCCCCAAGCACGGCCCAGCACTTGCTTCCAGTCGCCTGGAGCGATTTTTTCTGGCAGTGCAGCAACATGACTTTGTGGTTTTTGTGAAGATCTATACCATCCATCCATAACTGGACCCGGCCTGGTAAACATACAAAAAGCTATTGAAAATGGCCCAGTCGAAATAGTGGATTTACCGTATTTACCCATTAAAAATGGTGGATCTTTCCATAGCAAACTGCGCTATTTTCTGCTATTTTCGGACACCAGGATTTCAGGGGCATTCCATGGGTGACTCAGGACGCCGACTTTGCCGAAGAAAAATCCCCATGGTGTAGCATCATTTCCGATCAAAGTGTACCAGAATTGCTATAGGCTAATTGTACCGGTATGGTATATATATATATATTATTATATATATTATACATACACCCATACTCTGTTTTAAACTGGACGAACACCATTAATGATGTAGACTATGTAGAGGTATCAGATATGGAACCATGATATACCAGGTATACCAGGGAATTAGGGCCCTGATAGATCCCTTAGATCAAGATCAAGATGCGTGTCTTGGGTATTTGATCACCTTCATATGGCACTTCCGAACTTCGTCCCTGAAGATTTAGGAGAAAACCTTGGGAAAACCACCCCAAACACCATTGGTTTATCAGCAATTTCTCTATGCCACGGCCATAAATTCCAGTATATCCCAGTAGATATTGGACAAAACCTCATGAACTTTCACCTTGAACTCTTTTTTTGAAAGCGCTCATAGTTTCCTGACCCATTTTGGTGGATTCTATCCCCAGCTGTATCCCATATGGTCGATGATTTTCCCATCAGTACTTTTCCTGGCGCCAGATCCTCAGTCAAAGCCCAATTTTTCTTGGGAAATCATGGTACACTTCAATCATTTCAATCATTTCAATCATTTCCCGTTTATTAAAAGGTGACATAAAATACACTTTTTGTTGCGCCAGAAATTGCAGTCCCTTGGAGAAGCCGCTCCACCAAGGGTCAGCACCGTGGCTACTGCTCTGGTTGACTGCATCGGGAAAGCCCCCAAGGTGCTGCAGGCACGGTGGGTAACACAAGGGGAAGTAAATAGGTATGTGTACCACAGGATGGTGCCCCTCAGTGATGTTTGTTGGTTTATGAGCCCCAGTAACTAGTTCGTTATATCTACCATAAACGATAGAATTCAGCCCCCATCCTGCAGTTTATGTACCTAGTTGTTTGGTTTTTGGTTTTCATCCTGTTTTATGTAATGTTGAAAAGGTAAGACTGAGTGATTTTTCTATCAAGTATGGGGACGGAAAATCCCCTCCAAAATTCGCATAGACTCACCCTGAAAATAGCATGTTCTGAAAGTGGAGAGAGTAGTCTTACAAACATCTGGCAGGGTCTATGGGAATTTTGGATAATTTTGGGCTAATCAGATTCAACCAGATTTAAGAAATTTCAAGCAGAT